AACGGAACAGAGGTAATTCTCGAAAGGCTGGAGAGGCTGGAGAAATGATATGAAATTTTTGTTTCATCTCACCCGATTTTTTTGAGGAAAAGGGACATTTACCAGGTTTCAGAAAATACCCAACATCAGCAATGTGAGGTGGAACTCCAGAGCTATACTAGCAATCCTGGCCTTCATTTTAATTTCTTTAACAAGGACAGTTCTGCATTTATATCATATGGCTGGAAAGACCATTGGTTTACAGACCAACTGAAAACGACTTTAATAACTTGGCTGAAATATTAAATCCATACAAAAAGGCTTTAAGCTCTTTGAAAAATTATTGGAAGCGAGAGCCATCTATACTACAGATACCCAGAAGTAATCAATGGGCAGAGTGCGCAATAAAAGTAATGGAGTAAATTTATTCATCAAAAATAAATACAAATTGCACCTTCGATTCCTTCTGTGCAACAAGCAAGACAAGGTCAATAGTCTGAGTAATTGTTGGATTGAAAAATTATTGTATTACATGACTATTATATATATTACATTTGAATACATAGTAGTACTTTTTTCAAAATCGATTTTCTAATGGCGGGGTGAACTTTTTTGAAAAGATATGCAAATAATAGTTCATTTCGTGCTTTTTAGGTAAAAGTTCATAAAACTTCAGTACAGAGCATGGGGTTGATAAAAACTCATAACCCTAATTTATACATACACACAATTCTGGTTATAATTTTCCTATTTGTTTTGAAAATATCGTTATAGGAAACTGAAGAATTGATTGCAAATATTCAAGTTTCTCTATTCTTAATTGAGCGGATATTGAGTTGAAAAGTGGAATTGAATGTTTGATAATGTCGACTAATACTACTTTTTAGTTTGAGTAACTTTGCAAATAAGGCACCTTTCTATTATTGTCAATGAAAGCAAGTTTTTCTATCCATTCTTCTTGAAACGTTCTATTTTCTTTTGCATATTTTCGTTTTTTATGTTTTCCACGGTCATCGTAACAACAAATTTAACTTATTAATTCTGAAATTAAAACCAAATAAATAAGTGAATTATACTGGATAATTACAAAACACAAGTTTAAATTGCTTAATAGTACCTTAAATTATTTTAAATTAAGCAAAACATCTTCTGGGAGTAAAACTTGTTGCGCAAGGAGACCGTTTCTCTAGAATTTATAAAAGTTGGCCTTTAGAATTAGATTCTTAATTCCGCCTAAATAAGTTGACAATTTAGTTTCCATAAAGTCATGTATTATTTGAGCAAGCTGTAGTTAATTAATTATTATAATTTATTAAGGCAAATAAAAAATTTAACCTTTTTAATATTGTTAGAACGATAAACCACGATAAACTCGTATGAAGCCATTGTTACAAACATTCATTATGCTAAAACTCACCCCAAAGTATAAAATATTAATTATGCTTCAAATATTTTTTATAGAATTCTGATTTTTTCCTCTAACGTTTTGCTTGAGTTTTGTTCGCGGGTTAGTATCTGGTTATGTTATTGTTTTTATTTTTTCATGTTAAAATATCGGTTTTTCAAAACCTTTATCGTTCAAAACATCCATAATAAACTAAATAATTAATAAAAAATATTCAGTAAAAACAGTTTACAACATTAAAATACTCAAATATAAAATGACATTAAATTCTTATTTATCTCCATGTGTGGGTTTATTAGTTCCAACGTAGTTGTTCTCTTCGTTATTGTGTACCTTTTTCCGATCGCGTAATATAATCGCGTATGATAGCGTATAATAAGCTTATCATAAAAGAGTTAGTAAATCTACATGGTTTCCGGGCAACTTAGGTTATTTCTCTTGAATTTGTTTTATTTGAAGTATCACAAAAGGCTTAATAAATATTTTTTTTCGTTTTAACATGACCGATTTTTCAGGATTTTAACTTTGTCTTTACTTTAAAACTTTTGTTCTATTTTACATTCCAAGAGTTTCAAAACTATTCTATTTTACATTCCAAAAGTTTCGAAACTATTGCTCTTTGGTTTTTTGTCATCAATAATCTCATCAATGTCAAAAACAATCACGTGTTGAGTGGATGGTTGCGTAGTCATCAAACAATAGGAAATTATATTATATATTTAAATTATGTGTAGAATAGAGCGGACCCGTGAGTCTTATTTGACTGCCGTCCAAAAACCGCTTTTTGCCATTGTGTTGCCATTCTAATCCCTAACTTTTATTCATTGTTTTCGTCATGAGATGCGTATTTTTTGAGATATTTAGTTGCCCAATCTGTCCCTATGCTCAACTTGCCCTATATAAATTTAAATATAATTATCATAGAATGTGGCTGCAACATCACTTGTTAAACTTGCGCAAGTCTTTTAATGGACGGCGAAAAGTCTATGCAAACGATTTTTGCACATTTGAAGATGCTCAGGACAACTGATAATAATACCATTCAGCGTAATAAGTCAACTGATGAAATCAATCCAGGAAAATTCTATAGATGACCAAGAGTTACTTATCAATAACCAACAACATGAAACGTTACTTAGCTATGCAGGACATACAGATTTTAAGCTTAAAAATTTTTAATCAACTACCTCCTACCTTGAATTTTAATGCTCATACATTTTGAAGACATTTATACCAGGACGTTAATCTTCAATCGCACTGTGCTGCATTAAAACCACATCTTTCTCAAATAAGTATTTTTGAACACAAATTTTTTAAACCCAAGTACTTTGCTGTTAAATGGTTTCGACGTGTCATGTTCTCAGACAAAACGCAAATTAAGCAGTGTGTGTGGGTGTGCGCCAAGTTATTTATCGCCCCGTGCTAAAAAATGGCAATCTGAGAAAACAGCAAATTAATAAAATTAACATCGAAAAAACAAGTCAAAATATCAAATAAGTTCTCGTTATATTTCTAAATACTTTGTAATCACTCCTCAATGTATTAAAAGCAATAAACTAAGTTTATCTTTAATTTTAACTACTTTTTTAAGTACCATATAGAAGGTTATATCCTTGTAATGAAAAAATGAAAAATATAAAATTAAAAAAAAAAAAAAATAAAAGTAAAAACTATGACAACCAAATTTATAATTTTAAATTAAATAGTTATATCAATTGAAATAAAGCAAAACAACTAAAAACTTCCAGGACCATAAGCTATTCCTTCTCTTTCTTCATCTTGATCGCTATAACCTTTTCGTTTTGCCCTAATTTGTTTCCGACGTTGCTTTACTTTATCAGTCGATTTTTTTGCTATATTTTTAATTTGTGGAGGTGGAGGTGGAAGTGGTAAGTTTAAAAAACCACATAATTTTTCTAATGCACTGTGTCCTTTTCCAACTTCACGCATTGCAATTACAGAACGTAAATTTATATCAAAAGATTTTTCAAAAGTTTTACTTGAACTTTGCTTTCCATAAACACTCACTGCAGTTCAATATCAACAATGAACTTAAACCTTTTTTATTTTTATGATCTATATTTAAGTTGATAGACTTGCTCTCACAGTCAGGGCATGTTCTAACTAAGGTAATAATTTGTACAATAATATCAAGATCAATTAAAATATAGTTAGACTCGTTTTTATTACTTTGAGGTTGTGGAACAGCTTCATTATTAGCAACAACATTGCTGGTTGATCTTGTAAAGTTAGGTAAAATGCTTAAATCATTACTCTCAATTAATGGCAATTCTCTGCTTGCAAAAGTATTTTCAGTTTGGGGAAAAATAGACGAACTTGATGTTCTTGAAGTTCTTCTTCTTTTTTTAAAAACTCTGGAAGCACCAATACTTCTTCTCCTCAAAGCATTAGTTTTCATTTTAACTATTAGGAGTAATTTGTTTATTTTAATATACACTAAATAACTAAAAATAACAATACTAAGCAATTAAACTCAGGCTATATTCAACATTAATAACTGAAATAATATTTGCTTTAAAGCCACTTTACAATCACACCAAGAAAAAGTGATTATAAATGCTGGTTTATTAATTTTTAAGGCAAAAAAAGAAGCTAAATATCACTTAGTATTTTCTAAACACTTACTGAAGAAAATACTTGTTAAAGGCAGCTCAATAAGAACCAATACATGATGTTTACTTTTGTTGCTATGGAGTTGCTAAGGAGCAATAATTCATAGTACCTTTTTTAAAATGAAAAATAGAAGGCTTTATATAGATTATATTGAAAAAATAATAGTTCCATCGTTTTCAGCATGAATGAAAACGCCAGCGTGTTATATTCAAAAAATCAAAAAATTTGAAATTTCTGACGATACTACCACCTTAACTTCTAAACACTAAAAGCAACTTAAATGAGATTTAAAACCTGAAGATGAATTTAGATATAGTATAAGAGAGTAGGGTTTAAAATTTTATTTATACAATATATAATGACGTTTGGACAGGCGATTTAAACATTTTGAGATTGATTTTTTTTCCAGGCTTCCATCATTGCAATTTTTTTGTGATTTTTATCCTAAGCACTGATTAGTGAAACTTACCATATCCATATATATAAAGTTTAGAATCTTGAAGTTACTAAGTAACTAACTTAAATACAAAAAAATCCTGGATCCGCCCCTGTAGCCAAAAAGAACATTAATTGTACACAATAAATGCAGAAAAAACAATATAGTTAAGAAAAAAGAAAATTTGAATGGATGGCATGTTAGTTCAACAACGTTGTTTACATAATTATAAATGCTTTGGACAAATGAGTTTATTCTTATCAGAAATTAAAATATCGAGAGACCCGTATATTATGTTATAAGGGTGGAATGCAAGAAGCAAACTTGAGTCAAGTTCGACGTGAAATTTACTTTGTAACCAATAGCAGCAGAGTATTTTTTGAGGGGAAAACCCATACTCTGTCGCTATTGGTTGCAATGTAAAGTTCAAGTCGAGCTTGACTCAAGTTCCTTTCTTGCATTCCACCCTAAGTTATACATTCCATTATTAAATTCGATTTTCATCGTCACATCAATAAGCTATAAACAAGCTGATTTAAAAAACAATTTTTTTCCAATTATAAAATCGTTTTATTTAAATATATATTTACAAATCATAAATAGCGCTTTAAGTTGTTAATACACTGTAGTAAAAATCTTTTATAATATATAATTACAATACTATGCAAGTTTACAATTTTTATAATTAGATAACAAGTGAATTAAAAGTGAAAATAAAAAATTAATTAAAATTACAAAACTATTAAAAACATGCAAAATGTAAAAAAAAAAATTGTGGTTGCGTGTAATATGATACTTAAAATAAAATTATGCGCACAAAATTTGAGAAAGTTATTCATCGTTACCCGAGCAAAATTTTTTGTGCAGCCAAAAATCTCTTTGCTTGCATATGTCACTGCAATAACTCTGCCTTTTACACTTTGGGCATTTGAAAAGACCAGGTTGGCCACAAATGCAAAAAAACTCAGTTACTTCTAAAGAGATATAACATTAGAATTTTATATTACTTGTGAAACAAACGACATTTACTCAATTAAACTTTTTAATATATATATATATATATATATATATATATATATATATATATATATATATATATATATATATATATATATATATATATATATATATATATATATATATATATATATATATATATGTATACATATATATATATATATATATATATATATATATATATATATATATATATATATATGTATATATATATATATATAAATATATATATATATATATATATATATATATATATATATATATATATATATATATATATATATATTATATATATGTATATATATGTATATATATGTATATATATGTATATATATGTATATATATATATATATATATATATATATATATATATATATATATATATATATATATATATATATATGTATACATATATATATATATATATATATATAATATATATATATATATATATATATATATGTATACATATGTATATATATATATATATATATATATATATATATATATATATATATATATATATATATATATGTATACATATATATATATATATATATATATATATATATATATGTATACATATATATATATATATATATATATATATATATATATATATATATATATATATATATATATATATATATATATATATATATGTATATATATATATATATATATATATATATATATATGTATATATATGTATATATATGTATATATATGTATATATATGTATATATATATATATATATATATATATATATATATATATATATATATATATATATATATATATATATATAATATGTATATATACATATACACAAGGCCGGCGCGATAGGGGGGTGTGAAACTGGACCCTTAGTCGGCAAATTGTACCTAGTTAGTCGGCAAATGTGGACCCTTTCGATATAGGTTAGACAGTCGGCAAATTTTGGAAAACGAGGACCTTTTTTTTTTTTTTTTTTTTTTTGTGACACCTACTCGCGCCGGCCCTGCATATACATATATATATATATATGTATATATATGTATATATATATATATATATATATATATATATATATATATATATATATATATATATATAATATATATATACATATATATATAAATTAAAAAGTTTATTAGACTAAATGTCGTTTTTAGCATTTTAAAAATATTAACAAACAAATTTTCTTTAAAGTATTTATAAACTTTGTTTTAAGGTTTTGTTTATTACATAAGTATTATTATGACTTGCTTATTTGAATATAATAATAATAATCAAAACAACAATTAAAAGAGGACTTAATTTTAACAATTTAGTTTAGGTAAAACGGTTTATCACGAAATAAAAAAGGTATGCTTAACCATGGAAGTTCATCTGAAGATAGAAACAAATGGAAGTTCATCGAGCCGCAAACATAAAATCAATTTCAAGTCGTCTCTGAAACCGTCAATTAAAAAAAAAACAAGTTTCACTGGACAAAAAACAACAAAATTCACTGAAATGATTTTTATTAAAATATTAAAATACGAATTATTCTAGCGATATGCTGCAAAGTTTTAACCATTAGTAATTGTAATTATTCAAAAAAAAGTTTATTAAAACTCGGTATTTAAACAGGACCACTTTATTTTAAAAGCATATGTCAATTTAAGCTTTTTCTTGCTTCAAATCATAACACGACATTTGATTAAAAAGACAACTAAAACAATTTTGAAAAAATCAAAAAAATTGTTTTCTAAATAACCAAAGTTTAAAGTTTCATTTGCTGTATATCATAATTCCATTCATTCTTGTAGTACTCCATTCATTTCATATAAAGTTTATAAAAAAGTTTTTGTTTGCCGTTTTGTTGCGCCATTTTTAATGTTTTTCTTGAATATTATTGGCGAACCTTCAAAATACTATATTTTTAAATTATCATAAATGTACCTATTTGCGTCAACGTTTAAAGATTAAGTACAGTCTTGATGTCGTTTTCTTATTGTTTATGAAACAAAAGGTTTCAAGCATAGTCCCGAAGAATTTTAAAGCGGTTAAAACTTCCATCTGTTTACTTCCGTGGTTTAACCATGGACGTATTAACTAATTGTTGAACTGATGGATGGACGTTTAACTAACTGTTTAAAAGCCAAGATATGCGCGCTAGCAATCGTTATAAATAACAATATTCAAACAATAGAAAACATTTGCTTCGCGTGGAAATACTTTTATACGATTATACATCGAAATGATAACTGTCTCATTTATCTAATTAAATAAAAAAACTTTATTGTGTGAAGCATTGTAGTTAATGTATTTTACTATTTTGTTAAAAAATATTCTATATATTCAATCACCCTTGTTTAACTTCTGTATAACTATATAACAATAAGTTTTTAAATCATATGATTATCTTAGAACTCTACTTGTAAAAAAAAATTCAAATACTGAAAAATATCAAAGCAAAGTTTTGAGACAAAAAAGTGCGGCCGTGGCGCAGTGGTTAGAGCGGTTGCTTTATAAGCAGGAGATTCAGGTTCGAAACGAGCTCTGTATATATTTTCGCGTTACGGTAAGGAACTCCTTCCTTACACGACCTCTGCGACAGAGGTCTTCTTGTCACAGAGGTCTTCTTGGGGCACCTAAATAACAAAATAAAATTAAAAAAAAAACGATTTGATTTCAGTCAAAAAAGAGAAGATTAAATCTTTAGGAGATAAGCGAAATCTAAATGTAGGGTGTAATGGTTACCAAAAATCTCAAGTTCAATCTATAAATGATCTATGATACGACCTACAACACGTAGAAAATTCTTTTTACTTTACAATATTTTTTTAGTATATCACATATTGCATTTTTATAAAAATATTATTTTTGACGTCAAAGTTTTTTTACAAATAAGTTATTATTAAACAAAGCTTTCAAATCAATTAAAACACATTAGACATTCTTAATTACATAAAATGCATTTATATTCCCCAAAAGTTAGTGTGTTACGGGTAATAAAAAGTTTACTTAAAGAAGTTAGCAAAGCAAAAATGTCGATTAAATGTCGGTTTATTTTAAAATTATTTCAAAAAATGACGCTAAAAATTCAAACCCTCATAGAATTTCATAGGATAGTAATTGGCGGCGCCCTTGATCTATAACAATGCGTTAAACGTCCATCCATTTAAACGTCCTTGGTTTAACATGGTTACAGTTCTACTATGTTTTGTTTAGGCTATATATACGCTTTGAAATTAGATATTTTTACTAAAATTAAATCCCAACCGATACTACACATAAAGTGTTATTCATGGTTTCTGTTTCGTGTTGAAAACCCCCAAAACAAAAAGAATAATACGTGTCAAGAATAGGGTTTCAAATCCGTGAAGTTAACTATTACTGTTTATCAAAACGCCAATTAGGATCAGATCAATTAGAATCAGATTTTTAATAATGATTTCATCGTTATGGAAACGTAGTATAATATTATACTAAGTTTCCGTAGCAAATGTGAAACCAGTAAAAAAAAGCATGCATTCAAATTTGACATTAAAACTTCATTAAGACACGTGTTAAAATTGAAAAAAATGCCCGTGAAACCAATGTATTTTTGTTATACGCCTTGATCGTGATTAACACGTGTATAAGGGAGAACCTTAATGAATGGGACAATTATTGAATGGGACAAAATCAAATTTGCATAGAAGCATCTACGGTTGGCTATCCGAACTCCTGTGGTAATAAGTGTTTGACACAACCATTCAACAGACCAAATCTTTATTTCTATTATGGTCTAAACGTAATGGCATTGGATGTTATTGTGTTTTGAAGAACAATAAGTAATTTTTAAAAACAATTTTCTGTGTCTGATTTTGCAGCGATTACTAAAGTTAAGGAAAATGAAACTCCAATTTTCAACACCCAAATGTCTCTACTTTTTAAATTTGTAAAGTATTTTTGTTTAGGTATTACTGTTTTTAACCTGTCCTGTCATTTGTGGATATAGTGGGAAGCCTATTGAATGGGACAAAGTATTGATTATTGAATGGGACTTGTCCAAACAGCCTGATATGAAAAAAGTAGAAAAATATATTTCGGCAACTTAGTTATGGTCACACATAATTTTATTTTTAAATACGTTTTAATTTGATGTTAAACAATTATTCGTGTTTTTAATTTAATTTTAATATACATATATTTTTTAATAAAACTATTTTAGGTTTGTCAATATATGCAGACGTTCGGCCATATTTATAGCTTTTTCGGGTTCCCTAATGGTAGAAACTACCCTTACTGCTTGACTGGCTTGAAAGTTACTTAGGACCTCTCTTCTTTTATTAATTTTTTAGATTTGTCCCATTCAATAATTTTATTTGTCCCATTCAATGAGTAGTTCTTAATGAATGGGACAAATACCAAGGTCTTATTAAACTCTCTTTTTACCAATACCCATCAATCAATTTTTTTGTTTTTGTTTATCATAGTACGAGAGTTAACAGTTATCAAACTATTTTCAAAGTGATTTTTAAACAAATTTATCAACCTCAAAAAATGCATTTTACGAAAACTGTCCCATTCATTAAGGTTCTCCCCTATACAGCTTTTAATTCTGAAAGCGAAACTAGATGTACCGGCTGGAATGTATTTTTTATTTTTGAAACCGATATATTTGTTAATACATTGTTAAGTCTAAAAAGTAAAATCAAATAAAATATTACCATCGTGGCTTAAGATTTTAACTTTAATTTTCTTCTTAAATGCATCACGAACAAAAACTTTTTGTTCGGTCGTTGGATGAATTGTCTTTTTATGAGATGAAATAAATACAAAGTCTGCGTCATTTCCAATTGCCTTTTTAACTAATGGTCGAAGAACAGATAATGAACTGTTCATATCTGCACGTGCCATGCCTAAATACTGGAAAGAAGAATCAGCACCACTTGTCAATTGTAGAATTTCTAATAATCGAATTCCTTCTAAACGTTTAATTTTTTGTTAACAAATTTTTGTTATTGCTTTTTAATTGAGTATTTTTAAAAAACTGTAAATATTATGAATGTATTGAAAATTATTAAATAACAACTTATATTTTTGCTTTTATTATTTTTAATATAAATATTTGTAAATACTTTAATGATTTAATATTTGTAAATATTTTAATGACATTAATATTTGTAATGATTATTTGTATTATACCTTTGTTGATGGTTAACTCTCCTGGCAAATTTGTTGAAGAGTCATACAATGCAACGTCTTTTTCCTTAATAGCATGATGCACCTGAGAATTGCTATCTATTCGATCTGAGTTAGATGTCAATGCAGGCATTATCAATGGTGGAAGAATACCGAATCTTTTAGGAGGCTCAGAAAACTACAAAGTTTAATCCCAAAAATAAATATATTTAAAAAACATTCAAAAAGACAAATAGTCAGCAAATATTATTTGTAAATAATAATTGTATATTTTTAAGATAAAAAATATATAAGGACGTAATAAAGTTAAAAACCTACATTTGCTAAACCTGTTAAAATTTAAACTATTACACAACTTCTATTAATCATGCAATGTAAAGGATTATTTTTTACAACTATCTTGCTTACAATGTATTTGTTTTTCACAGTAATTACAATGTAAATTATTAAAATACAATGTGAAAAACCTTTCACAACTTTTTCTTATAATTTAGGTGTAAATTATTTTCTTTAAAATAACTTAGCGAAATTTTCTTCAAAATAATGTAATGAAGCAAAACCACAAGAATTAACAACATACCGTTTCATTTTGTTTTTCACGCTGCTTTTCATTGTTTCGTAAACATTCCTCACTAGTAAAAATATCTCTCACATTTTTCAGTGATCGACTTGTAATTTCCCGCATTTCCTTGTTCTCTTCTAACTTTTTATCAATGGAAAGAGAGGAGGCCATAACCTTTTTTGGTAGAACAGTTTGATCATAGCCAAAATTAATTAAACTACCTGTATCAATAACTGGGTTAACTTTCTTTTCTGTCTAAATACAAAAAAAAAGTAACTTTATGAACTAATGAAAAATAAAAAATATTTTTTTCTTTTATAAATTTTCTAAATATAAACTACCTCAGAAGATAAGTTAGTAGTTTTATATTCATCAACTTCAGGTTTAGAAAAAGAAGTTTGCGAAGTAACAAAAAAGGCCTGGTTCTGCCAATCAATATCATTTAAAGATTGCTAAAAAAATTACTTTATTGTTATTCCCATAATTAATATCATTAATATTAAATAATATATCTATAATATATGTTTTAATGTATTTCATTCATTATTTTAATTCAGGAAGAAGGTTAATAACAAAGAAAGTTAATAACAAAAGTTTTACCGCTTTGGAGCTTAAGTAATCGCTGTTTGTTTTTTCGTCTAGCATAATATGCTCATCACACTAAGATTAAAAAAAAAGAATAATCTTTTATTATTTGGTTATTTTATTCATTTTTATTAGTTCACCAACATAAAAATAAAAAAATATTTTCTGAACCTTTTCTTCAGCATTTTCAATATTCTTCTTTTTTAGACTTGATTTGTATCGTACATAAAGGAACACGCAAATAATTCCAACAAAAAATGCTACACATAAAATTGCAACAACAATCTTCCATGCGTTAGAGCTTACATCTTTTTTTTGATTCATAATAGTTCCATTGACAGATAAATAGGCACTGGCTTTCAAACTAACTCCACTATAATAAAACACAAATTTACCATTTCTTAAATCTGATAAGAGATTATCAACAAGAGTCTTTTGGTCTACGTTGTCCATCAAAATATCCATATTAACATATATACTTCCTTTTGTTGTGCTTATCCTTGTAACCGTGACAATCCTATTATTATTGTATTCATAATTTTCATAAAATGTTTTAAACTGACTTTCAAACAAACTTTTATTTGTTTGGACATATTTATCATAGTCATATTCGAACATCATTTGAATATTTGAAGTAACTGCATGATTTTTGCACCTACTAGTTGTTTCAACAGATGGCAAAATCAACTGAGGACTAAAAGAACTTAGAAATGAACCAGATTCGACACTTTCATCGACATTTACAATTTCACTACGATTATCAAAGCTTTTTTTAAATGTACTCATCATTCTTCTTGGAGAGTATAAAACTTTGCCTTTGTTTTGGAAGAAAACAGATTTTTGAGGACTCAAGTAAAATGATATTCCAACATTTTTAGCACTAACTGGCCAATCAGAAATATTCAAAGAATACGTATTTCCTTCTTTTCCTACTCTAATTATATCGCCATACTTAATATTGCTATCACCATGAAACATAAAGTAACTTATGTTGTTTTGAAGACTTGACTTCATTAATTGATCATGAACTATACTATTAGGATATGTTATTACAACAAACATATCTGAGTTGGGATTTATCCACGGTGATACACCAAGATATATTGATTCAGCTGTTATTAAAAATTGACATCCTGAAGATTGAGAAGGTTGAACAACTTTTAATTCTGAAAATGCATAATTGTTTCCAATATAGATGTCATAGATATTCATAACATCTTCAGCATCAACCACTCCATTAAGATCTGTATCCATATTATAATTGGTTGAGTCTACATTAACAGAACTATGTGCGTTTTGATAAAAGTACAAACGAGCTACATCAAGTATGTCAAATAAACAATCTTTGTGTATATCAAACAAAACGTTTTCTTGACAACCTGGTATGATTTTCATCTGGCTTAGAGATTGATCGACAATTTTATTAATAGTATATGTAAAGTTTAACTGTTTTTTCCCTTCTGGAATAGTTAAAATCATCTCTGCTAACTTAACAAAACCTCGTTTTCTTTCTGAAAAACTAACTAAACCAATGAACCGCTTTTTAAGGCTAGATGGATTAATGTAGCTGTAGCCACTTTTCACTAAATCCATTGAAGTTGAGGGTTGAAAACTGATTTCCACATCAAAAGCCAGTATAGATTCCCATCCAACCATAATGTAAAATGGAACAACTGTATTGTCGTGAAACTCTTTCAAATTGTTAGTCTAATAATTTAATTACTCTATTATATATATATATATATATATATATATATATATATATATATATATATATATATATATATATATATATATATATATATATATATATATATATATATATATAACAATATTACATATTTAACAAATATATAACAATATTATATAACCTATTATATTATTTAACAGTCTATTTGGGTTTTTTTTGGAAGAAATACAATTAATGCCACCATACAAGTAGTGGGTGACAGGGGATATGCTATTGACTGCAATACCTCACTAACTGCAATAGTCTTAGATTTTGCGAAAGCATTAGACCTTCTCAGCCACATTATTCTCATGCACAAACTTGAGATCAACCTACCACCATTGTTATAACAAAACGTTTCTTAACATAATCAAATACAAAGTTATTTATATTGGTGGAGGTGCAAAGTCAGTCATAACATAAAATGGCAAAACCTTTGAAGTTTTAAACTCATACAAATACCTTAGAATCAACTTTAGTTTCAAATTTGATAAACAATGGTTTTTGTGTTAAAATTATTTCCAAGAAGTATCTATTTAAGCTACTCTGAATATTTGGTGAATGGTCTCAACATATGACTGTATCTACTTACTACACTTATTGCCTTACCCACTATACCTACATGCAGTTGTTCTTACATCCAAGACCAATAAAACTAAATCTTAGATGCAAGTCTTTTAAAACTTTCTTCTTAAAGCAGCTGGTATTGACCCTTATGATGCAATCTACCATGGTATCCTTCCCATTGATGAATTTTTAGTTAACCAAACCATCTAATTACACTATTAGCACTTAGTCTACATAAAAAAGATTATTCACATACCACTTCAAATTCAAAATAAACAATTTATTTAAACTCATATCTACAAAAATTAATCTGCCACCTACATAATGACACAAATAAACCTGTTGTTAACTTTACCCTTTACGTTATCTGAAAGTATTAAGTATTGAATTCCAGGTTAACAGATTACTTCAAAATATTTTTCTTTTAGTTTTTGTAAGCGCAAATCAATATTTATTATAATTACAGTTTATATTATATATATATATATATATATATATATATATATAAATATATATATATATATATATATACATATATATATATATATACATATATATATATATATACATATATATGTATATACATATATATACATATATATATATACATATATATACACACATATATATATATATATATATATATATATATATATATATATATGTATATACATATATATCTATATATACATGTATATATATACATGTATATATATATATATATATATATATATATATATATATATATATATATATATATATATATATATATATATATATATATATATATATATATATATATATATATATAACATTGTTATTATAAAATGTTTAAATATAAAATTATAGCTGTTAAATAAACTATTTTTGACTAGTTTTATAATTATTATCAATTATCATGAAATATAAAGAAATAAAAACTATACCTTACTGCCAGCAGTAATACTATATGCAACATGAATAGATTTAAAAAAAATAAATACAGAGCATGTTGTGTTTCTTTGTTTTTGATCTTGAACAAGTATAGTCAAATAATAAAACCCAAGTGTAGGACTTTTATTTAAACTAATTTTACCATTGTTATTTATGCTAAACATATGGCTATCATCACCGTTTGATATAAAATAAACGATTTCTGAAGTTCCATCATTTGTAGCATTAATGGTTGTTATGACAACATTTTCAATTGGTTTTACAGTGTCATCAGAAAACACTTCAATTTCGTTGTTATGTAATAAGTAGAGTGAAGATTGGCTAAGAGGAAGTACTAAAATAGTAAAAACTAATGAAAATGATTGGGCAGCAGGATAAGTTACCTTATATAAAATACGATAAACAGAAGCACTATGAGTTATTGCAAGATCAGTAAAAACAGCTGTTCCATTAGAAAAGGAAACTGTGGTAGTTCCGGTTAATTGCGCGTTAGGATTGCCAAAACCATCAACTAAACTAGCTGTTATTTGCCATGGTAAAAGCTGTGAACCAACATTTTTAACCCATTTGTTTGCATAGTCATTTAGTTGAAATTGTGGTTGGATTTTAAACGGGACTGTCTCAATACTTTCAGAGCTAGGATTATTTACCATAACAAGTGTTTTAGGAATTAAGTAATCAACACTAATTTCATTATTTATGTCTGTTGGCGGTGGTGCTGTTGTATTATCAGTTACGTTAATTGATATTCTTGGAGGTGCCACCGGTAGTGGTTGTGGATGAACAACATTAATAACATTTAGTTCAACAGAAAGAGATTTAGCAAGCTGTCCAGTTTGAAAGCTTTCTACTATAACTGCAGCGATTTTAGTGACCTCTTTATATGCTGCAGCTGTAAGAAAAATATACTCCTTGATGAAAAATTTAACAAATATTAGCAATACAAGTAAATAAATAAAAATAAAACCTGTATCGTTGGCTGAAGTATAATTAGTTGAATCTGGTGGATTGCCAATCTCAAACTAAATTATATAATTATGAAATAAAAAGGTTATTGTAAAAGTTGTATGTAAAAGTTTAATAAAAGACATTTATATATAAATTTAACATTATCTACTCCTATCATTTTAATTGGTATTGTATTTCTTCTAAAAATTTAGTTAATCCATCAGCAGCAAAACATCTTTGCAAATTATTTTATGATTTAATTTTATGTTATATTATTATATTATATTATATATATATAAATATATATATAAATATATATATATATATATATATATATATATATATATATATATATATATATATATATATATATATATATATATATATATATATATATATATATATATATATATATATATATATATATATGTTTTATTATTATATATTATATATTATTATTGTTATGTTATTTTATTATTATATATATTTATATTATATATTATGTAAGGCCTTGTTACAATGTTACTTTGCCAAGAACCATAAATTATAGGGATTCTTCATTATCTCCATTCTTCGGTATATAACTACATAGCATAGCCACTACCTTGTTAGTAGCTATGCAGTCATATTTGTTTTCTTAAAAAGTTACAGCTATGAGACTTAGTTTATTAGTTCTGAGGACAGCTTGTAGTAAGTTTTTACAATAAACAGCTGTAAAATATGTGTATTAACAATGGCATAAATACACTTATATTTTACAGCTGTTTATGGTAAAAACTTACTTAAGACATGGTGCACCTGTTGTACTTTTTAGGTGGATTGTCAGTGCCACATAAGTAACTCTTTGTGACAACTTTTGGTTGATTCATAAGACTGAGGCAAATGGTTATTTATGTTTGAGTTAATTTCTCCCTAATAATTGACAATAGTATCTATAAAAATGTGACACCTAAAAAAACTTAACATAAAAACATCTCCACTAAACTATTTTTAAATATTTTTAGTCATTTCATTGGTAGAACCTTATCTCTTGCAAAATTTACTGGACCTACTTTCTCAACCTGAGACCAATTTTATTTGGTTCTTTTCATCTTCAGATATTTTGGTTGGTTATTTTTATTTCAGATATTTTGGTTGGTTATTATCATCTTCAGATATTACTGTTGATAGCTATTATCTTTTGATTCAAAAATGCTCCAAAAATTAGATACTTTGTGCACAGTTTTGAACTGCACTCATTTTAATGTTGTTTTAGATCAAACTGACCTATTTGATAAAAAAACAACATTTATCCCTCAGCCAATTCTGTTTTTATTAGTGATATAAATGCTCATCACAATGGTTGACTCTACCAATGATTGACTCTAGTACCACTAACTTTGCTGGTTCTAAAGTAAAAATACTTTTTTAATCTTATGCTCAGTAAATTTGCATCTTTTTTTATCCAGATAAGCAAAATCACTTTCACTTCTTGATTTGCGCCTTGTCTCTGACCAAGTCTTGCATTTTTCACTTTAAGTATAGTAAATTTCTTGTATTTTATACTTCTACAACAGACTCACCCTTTCATGGTACTTTTTACTACTACCTTATGATTGACTAGGTGATAATGCTTAGGGTAATGTTTTTTGTCTCTATGCTAAAAAACACGCCTCCTTTATAACTTTCTGGAATCAGACAAATATAAAGTTTTTATTTTATCTTTTTAATTACAAGTCAAGCCTCAGTCTGCCTCACGAATTTCTCCTACTTGTGCATATAGCTATTTAACAAGTGCTTAACTAAACTTTAATTTCCTACCTGTTGGAAAATGGTTTTTGTGGTTCCAATTTTAAAAAAATCTAGACTTATTTAACTATTGCCTAATTTTCTTCATACTATTATTAGCAAGATCTGAGTTTTTGTTAAAAATATGCTCATATCTCATCAATCTTTAAAAAAAACCACAGCAAATTTTAATTTTTTTCTTTTACTTCAGACTTGTTAACTGAAACTGAAACTGCTATAACAGAAAATATTTGTTGCATCATAAAGCATTCAATAAAGTCTAGCAATGTGGTCTTCTCCATAAGGTGGTCTTCTCCATAAGGTGGTCTTCTCCATAAGGTGGTCTTCTCCATAAGGTAGCCTTCTCCATAAGGTGGTCTTCTCCATAAGGTGGTCTTCTCCATAAGGTGGTCTTCTCGTTAAGGTGGTCTACTCCATAAGGTGGTCTTCTCCATAAGGTGGTCTTCTCGTTAAGGTGGTCTTCTCCATAAGGTGGTCTTCTCTATAAGGTGGTCTTCTCCATAAGTTTTTTCATACAGTGCATCTGAAAAAGCGGTTAAAAAATTATCAGTTTTTTTTATAATCATAATATTAAGATTGTTTTCAACAGAAAACTCTCTGCTATGTACCATAAATTTTAATCCTAGGTATTTATGATGTGTGTGCGTGACCCTGTTTTTTTTTTTCACCTATATTAATAATCATAATACAAATTTTACCTCTGTTCACATTAACATAAGATAACTTAATGATGATACATTCCAGTCTTGACAAAAACTCATCATGGTTTGATTAGAACAGACAGCCACTCTAGGGTGTAATCTTTCTTTTGTAACAGCTTAAAGCTCACAGTGAATAATAAATTTTAAACTCAAACAAAAGTCAGTTGTTAACTGCTAATAATTGTTGCAATATTGTTGCAATATAGTTGCAATATAGTTGTAATATAGTTGAAATATTGTTGCAATATAATAATTATTGTTAATATGAATAGCAACACTTTGAGTTACTATATTTCTGACCTCTTAAGAAAATTATTTATACAATCATTTACTGTTAGCATCTAAAGGTTGTTTTCCTTTACCATGCCTACTCCTGATTCTATTTTTTACTTCTATAGCTTACTTGTCCATGTATCTGCCCATGTTGTTACTTTTTATCTCTACAAATCTCACACTTATCCATGGATTACTAATATCATATTTTCTTATTCCTTCAATGATGTCCTTTCTTTTTAAAAAATGTCTAGAAACTGATTGCAATCGTAGTGGACCTGCTTTAACAGGAAAGCTTATGCCTTGATTCTATTGTTGTAAGAATGCCTTCTTTTTTTTTTCCAAAACAGTTCCAGAGTTTTGCTCAAGCAAGTATTCATCTTAAGTTCCATCAACTAAAACAATTTTGTGTAGCTTGTTTATTCAGTAAAGTTGCACCTTTTCACTCTGACTTTTCTTTCATGCTCAAATATTTTTACCTAACTTTTTAAGCTCTGTCAATCAGGTTCATGCTCTTTAGCTCTCTATGTTTTATGTTAACTCGCAATTTAATTGGTTGCTTGCAGCCTTGTTAAGAGTGAATTTGTTTAAAATTGTTTTTTAATAAATTAGAAACAAAATAAAACAAAATGGTTGTACTTGTGTGAAATTGAATAAAATATATTTACCCTTTTTAAAATACTTTTCTAAAATTCAAAAACTAAAAAAAAACAACAAAATAGTAATATATATTATAATGATAGTTATAAGCATATGCTTATAACTATCATATTATAATTTTTTTATTCATTATATTCATAATATTATATAATACTATTTATAATAATAAGTTAATGATTTATTAGGATGGTATCACTCCTACAAAAGTCTGATCAAAGGAGTGACACCAAAAAATTTCAAAAACATAAATATTATTAGTTACTAATAAAAACTTCTTAAGTTAAATATATACTTTTTTGGTTTTTAGTAAACATCAATACAAGATTGAAGGCTGATATGATATGTTAGAAATAAAAAAAATAGCAGAATATCGCTGCTAACACACTACATTAAGCCAACATCAAAACAACATTGACCCAATATTTTCAATGATGTTCCAATGTCAGCCCAATGTGGGATTGCTAACAGCGAAGATACCTAGAAATCTACCATGACCCCATTTACAAGCTTTTAACATTTGCTTATAAATAACTGAAAGCTATTTAATATATTTAAATATATTTGAATATAATTTAAAAAAAAAATAGAATAATATAATTTAAAAAACAAAGAAATATTTTTCTTAAAAATGTTTGATTTCTTACATTTCTTTGACGTTTTTTTAGATATAAAAACATATAAGGATAAGTAAAAAATCAATAATATTAAATTAAAAAAAAAATTTTTCAACTATAAGTGAAAATTTATTCAAATTTATTATCATTTTATAGCTGTTATTATAAATATTAAAATCAATTTAGATAATATTTTTGATAGTGAAATAAAAAAATAACCTGAACATTAATAGGTGTTGCAGTTCCTCTACGTTTTCGCTTAGATGCTGCAACTATGCTCATGATTCTAATTTTAGATGTACTTATTCCCAACAAGTCAGCCAAGTTTTGAACAAGATTTATTGTAAAAAAATCATCTAAACTGACATCACGCAAAGGCGTCATTCCCATACTTAACTAAAATACACAAAGATAAATATATGTATACATACATATATATATATATATATATATATATATATATATATATATATATATATATATATATATATATATATATATATATATATGTATATATATATATATATATATATATGTTATATATATATATATATATATATATATATATATATATATGTTTATATATGTATATATGTTATACATATACATATATATAAATATATAAATATATATATATATATATATATATATATATATATATATATATATATGTTGTATAAATATATATATATTTTTATATATATATTTATTGTTTTTTTAAAATTTTTTTTTTTGTATTTGAAAATAGTATTTTTATTTTTAAACCTAAAGTGATACAAACATATTAAAACACTGCACAAACACCAACATATTAGGTGTGTGTGTTAATATATATATATATATATATATATATATATATATATATATATATATATATATATATATATATATATATAATCTACTATAGCATATTTATATGCACAATTGCTCACTTTTTTTGCTAGCCTAAATTAAGTGAGCGTTTTTAGAAAATGATGAGGGAAAACGAAGAATATTGAATGAAAAGGTTACTGCGAGTCAGGCTATTTGTCAGTCGATGTATGTACTTAAGCCCCCGGCAGCAGGCTATTTGACGTTAGGTGAGTATGACATCATCATGCTCACCTAACTCAGCAGTATAAGATATATATATATATATATATATATATATATATATATATATATATATATATATATATATATATATATATGTATATGTATATATATATATATATATATACATATATATATATTTCAATATATTTATATATACATATATATACACATAAGTGTATATATATGAATAAAGAAAACATCTTTATATTATCATTTATAATATTGTATAATTAAAAGAGTGATCAATAAATAAACTAAAGTTATATATATGTGACTGTTACCTGTTACTCGCAGTACCAGGAATTAGGTAAATACTAATATTTATAATATAATTTAATATTGCAACTCTGAGTTTCATGTGTCACAATCATCATGCAAGTGGTAAAAATTCAATTTTGCTACAATGTTTTTAGTAAGTGTTATGGTTTATATTTGTATTTTATATTGTTACGGAACAGTAAAAATTTTCTTTCATGACAGCACTTTGATATAATTTTGGTCCTTTTAAGTTCTTCAGGTTTTGGATATGATATAATAGTAAACTTCCCATATAGACATAGTATTCACCTTTTGGAAATATTTAAGTTGGGGGTACAGAATTTAGAATAGACCAAATTAATGTAGGGGTTTCATTAAAATTGTTTTTTAAATCCCAGACCTAGTTTGATAAGGTGGTGGACTTTTTGTATTTAACATTACTGAATGATGATTTGTGGTTGTTATATCTGGTTTTCCATTCATAATGCATTCTGTTTTATTTCGACAAATGCATTTTGATTTTTTAATTTCGAATTCTTGGGAAGATAATTCTTTGTTGTATGTATTAGCTGATAAAACAAATAATCTATATAAAATGTCTGCTGAAAGTCACAATAAACGGATGAATGAAAATCTAACTAAAACCTATAAAAAAGGACCCAATAATTTAGAAAAATTAGTCAACCTTGAAGCCAACCAAATAGCCTTTAAATTAAATTTGAGTAACCAAATAGAACACCTAACAAAATTTCCAGTATTTATTGCCTTGAGAAGACCATAAAGAAAATTTCAAATCAAAAACTGTGTGCCATCTCATTAATCCAGCAAAAAGCGAAATCCAAATAATAAGCAAAAGAAACTTAGACATTACTGACACATTCTTAAAAAATAGCCTACAAGTAAACCAATGGAAAAACACCACCAAAGTTATTGATTGGTTTAACAGCATTGTAGACAAAATAGTTGCTTCTTCATCCAATTTAACATAAATAAATTATCTCCATCTATAACTACCGAAAAAATGTTGATAAAATGTTTTTAAATTTACTAGAAAAAAGCTTCCCTAAAACACATAAACTTCACAAAATCTTTACTAGAAACACTGTAAAGGTAAGCTACAGTTGCACTAAAAACATAAAAAAATTATAAAAAACCACAACAAAAAAATTATCTCTTCAAAAATTGAAAATAATGACCCAAAACACAATTGTTAAAATGAAACAGAATGCCCCCTGAATGGTAAGTCCAAATCCACAAACATATACAAATGCATCATTGCAGCTGAAAACCAACCCAACAAAGTTTATATTCGATTAACAGAAGGTGAATGGAAAATCAGATATAACAACCACAAATCATCATTCAGTAATGTTAAATACAAGAAGTGTATACACCCTATCAAACCGCATCTGAAATTTAAAAAACAATTTTAACAAAACCCTTATATTAACATGGTCTATTCTGAAGTCTGTACCCCCTAATCAAATATTTACAAAAGGTGCCCGCCATGTCTATATAAGAAATTTGCTATTATACTGTATCCAAAACCTGAGGAACTGCTAAATAAAAGAACCGAAATTATATCAAAGTGCTGCCACAAAAATAAATTAACCTAAATAACCTAATAACAAATAAAAAAAACTGTTACTCTACTTCATATATCTCATGGCTAACTAATAAATTGCTTACATAAATATATTTTTATATTAATTTTTATTATTTTAAATATATAAATAATGCACATTATCAAATAAAAGAATTTTTTAAAAAACATTTAACTATTTCACAACTATTAGCTAACCAAAAATAAACTAATAATAACATTAACCTAATTACTAAACAATTTCCATCTTGGAACGATCTAAAATACAAATATAACCCTAACACCTACTAAACATATCTTAACAAAATTACATTTTTACTACTTGCCTGAAGATTGTGGTAACACATGAAACTCAGAGTTGCAACATTAAAATATAAATATAAATATATATATATATATATATATATATATATATATATATATATATATATATATATATATATGCAGTAGTGGTGTAGTGGTAGAGCGCTCGCTTCATAAGCAAGAGGTTCCTAGTTCGATTACTACCACATCCCTGATAGTACCACGCTTAACTTGTTTCTCCACGCAGCGGCCTTGTTTTCCAAGGTTCATGTTTAAGAGTTATAGAGTTGAGAGAGGGTTAAAACCACAAGTAGCCTCCTCATCTGTAGTGGCCTTCCTGGCCGTGCGGAAGTGATTTACAAAAAAAAAAAAAAAAAAAAAAAATTATATATATATATATATATATATATATATATATATATATATATATATATATGTATATATTTATATATATAATACCGTAAGTAAGCAGTATAAATTGCTCTAACTGCATTTTAAAACAATTTGTATAACTTATCATCAAGATTATTCAACTTAAAAAATTACTTGAATAGTTTGTGCCATATTAATATCAACATAACCACTTCCTCTCAATACAACCCATAAAAGCTGAGTATCAGTATCATACCAATTACTTCCATGATTATCAGTAATGCTTGGAACATACTGCAATGGATTAGAGCGATCCTTTGGCATGTAATTTGAATTTTGATAGTTGTTAGGATAAACAAGAATACCTGTTGAAAATAAATAATAAAATTCTAATAGTTTTTTAAAACAAAAATTTTTTATATTTCTTTATCAATGCACAAAAGCAAATTTTTTATTTGGAAGGAAAAGGTGTGCATGTTAATTTTTTTGCACTTCACTAAAACTTTAAACTATTTTTTTACCATTTACTAAAAAACATGTTTAAAAATAATTAATATAGAATTGATAAGTATAGAAATAATTGATATACTAGGGTGTATACTAGGGTGTTTCTTATTTTTGAAGATTGAGTTTTTTGCATGGGCCACCCTGCCATTTGGTTCATTATCATAAAAAAGTAAAACTCTTTTTTTTTTTTAGAATGATTTTTAGGGGTCACTACCATCCCTACAGTATTGCGCAAATGTACCCTAAAAATGGTTATGTTGCGTATGATGTTATGCAGTAAAAGTGGTTGGTGCTTAGCGTACAAACCTCTTTTAACTAGTAGTTTTTTTACTTTTAGTGTGCAGAACTGTGTCTATAATGCTTAATTGTTCCTTTTGCAGGTTAAACTAGTGTAATTACTGTGCAGTGATGGCTTCATCAACCAGTACAACGATAGCTACCAGAAAGAAAACTGAGATATGGGTTATTGGACAGATGTCCTCCTCTTTAGATAGTGTTATGTTTCCATCAAAAAGGGAAGTGTTGGCCCTATTCTTCCATTACAAGCAGATTGCTAAGCAAAGCATGAGGGAAGTATTACATTCCACAGCAAATGATGTTTTTGAAGTTTATTCAAAGACGTGAATACCTGTGCAATTAAATCAAAAACATTTACAAGGAATGGGAAAAGTTGAAGAAAAATAAAGAGAATAAAGCTAAGCGTTCAGTTTATTTGAAACAAAAGGAAGTCCAATGGAATAAAGGGTTAGAAGAACTATGCGATATTGCCCATGCCAATGCATTTGGAAATGATCACCATTCAGGAGGATAAGAACTTCCTATTATGCCAAAGAGAGAAAATTCAGAGAGGCAAAATGGGTCCACCTGATAAGAAATTCGGAAAGCAAGAAGAAGTATCAAGAAAAAGACAAAAAGAAATGAAACAAAAAAGGGGCTGAGAGGAGATGGCAAGAAAATTTCAATAAGAAACAGTTGTTCTTTCATCATCAATTAAGCTGAAGATAACCCTAAAGAAGATAGCATAACTCAAGAAGATACCTTGCCTAGTAACCAAGATGACCCTGAGCTGTCAACTTCAGGTACACCAGCTCCAAATTGAGTGGTCGTGGGGCGGCACTTGTGTTAACACCGACATTACAACTTCTTGGTCATGATCCAACAGAATACAATGTTAATCCAGCTTCCATTCGATGTCATGATCCAACAGAATACAATGTTAATCCAGCTTCCATTCGAAGGGAACGAATAAAACACCGCAAGAAGATAACAGAAGGTTTAAGGAAGGAATTCAAACCAGAAGTTACTTCATGTATTCATTGGGATGGAAAATTACTCACTGATCTCACCGGTAAAGAAACTGTTGACTGACTTCCGATTCTAGTATCTGCAGGAGTGCAGCAGCTTCTTAGCGTCCCAAAACTACCATCATGAACAGGTGAAAATGTGGCATCTGCAGTGCATGATGTGTCAGTGGAATGGGGAATTAACGATCAAGTAAAGTGCATGTGCTTTGATACTACTGCAGCCAATACTTGGTCAAGAAATGGAACTTGCATTCTTCTAGAGCAGAAGTTTGGAAAAGATATGTTGTGGTTGGCATGTCGTCACCACATTCTAAAAATTATTTTGGAAACAGTAGTTTTGCTGTGTCTCGGCCCTTCAAGTGGACCACTCTTTAAAAGATTTCAAAAAAGTTGGGTCTTAATTGATTCCACAAAGTACATCACGGCTGATAAGAACACTTCAAATGTTCTTACCGGTATCACTGATAAAAGAATCTTTTGCAAAGATCAACTACAAATCTTTCAACCTCATGACAACTACCGAGAACTTTTTGCGTTGTCTGTTATTTTTTTGGGAGGAGTAGCTTTGAGGAGCATTTCATTTAAAGTTCCTGTCGGTCTACACCGTGCTCGTTGGATGGCAAAAGCTATTTATGCGTTGAAGATTTGGATGTTTAGAGACCAATTCAGGTTAACAAAAAGAGAGGAGAAGGGAGTAAGGGATATTTGCTTTTTCACGGTTTGACTGTACATTATAGTCTGGTACAGATCTCCTGAAGCAACCTCAGCTCCTACACTTGATCTGCAGCTCTTGAAAGACTTCAATGCCAAAAATTGCTGCGAAGAAGTGACAAGGACATCTCTGGTACCTATCAGAGGAACTTGTTGTTTAAGCTTTTTTTGATGATGAGGTTCACCCTGAGACAAAGGTCAAGATGGTCCAAGCATTGAACAATGTTTCAGATCAGATACCTATGAAACCAGCTATTGTGGACTTCTCAGTTATCCAAGAAAAGAAACTAGAGAACTTTACCACATTTAATACACAAAGATTTTTCAGCATCACATGACTTCCATCACACTTTCTTCAAAATAGTGTGAGCAAATGGGAACATGATGATGAGTTCAAGACTGTAAAGTCCACTGTTTGAAGCATGAAGGTTGTCAACAACATTGCAGAACGTGGCGTAGTACTAATGGACGAATAAAATAGACTACATACAAATAACGAAGAGCAAAAGCAGTTCCTGTTGTTGGTATTTCAAAAATATAGACAAAAATATCCTGCCAGAAAAAAGACAACTCTCATGAGCGATTAATCTTAGTACTGTAACTGTAATAAACCTATAATCAAAGTAAAAAAGCATGTTTATTGCTGTCTTTTAATAAATAAGTAGAAATGCAATGACAGAAAATGAATGTTTTTAATGCATGTAATAAGTAAATAAATGTGTACCAAGTAAATGAGTTATTATCACCAGTCTCCATCAGTTTTATGATTTTTTCCTATGTTAATGACTAAGAGCGCATAGTAAAATATGCCTTAAATTTCAATAACTGGTAGCACCCAGTAAAAATATTTTTTTCCCCTTGAAATTTTTACACATTTATTTTCTCACCAAAATGAACCATTTCAGTGGGTGGCCCACTGAAATGGTTCATTTTGTTAGGTCAGCTAGTTTTAAATTAATTTTATATTAAAATATTTAGTAATACAACATAATGTAATAATATATTTAATTTTAAATTAATGTTATATTTATTTTAAAGTAGAAAAAATAAAAATAAAACTAATCAACTTTTAAATTTTATAAAATTTATAAATATACTTGTTTCTAGTATTTTAACTGTTAAAAGGTTAATGTGGACAATTTTCATCTTACTTTACTTATTTTTATTAAATTGTATTTGTCACAACAATATCTTAATTATAACTTTTTTTTTATCAACAATATCTTTTTACTTTTTGTTATACTCATGATGGTAAAATGGTAACATCATGGTAAGATAGTACATCATGATAAGAAAACATCATGTAAGATAGTACATCATGATAAGGAGGTTTTAATCAGATTTTTAACACAATAAAACGAACAGTAGAACACTTTTCTGTAATAAGAGAGCTGTTTAATTTTTATAATAATTGCATAAGAATAAAGGAAGACACCTAACACTAACAGATTTGTGTGGGTTTACTAATCAAAGCCATACCGTATTTTCTACAGTATCTGACCAAATTATTAAGCATGCTATAAGATTCTATAAAATATTTTTATTATCAGGTGATACTAGATAGCTTTATAGTTTTTACAGGGTACATATTTTTTCAATCAACAAAGTCTCATTTTAAAATCATTCAACCAATAATGTCTCATTCACTAAAGAAGCACTTATTGCTAGTGTATAATAAATAAAATCATATGATGCTAGTGTATAATAAATAAAATCATATGATGATAAATTAATGACATTGAGGAACCAACGTTTAAAAAATTTAATCAATTACTTAGAAGCATTTGGTCAACTTTTTTTAACTAAAATTAACACAATTGTAACTTATATTAAATAGATTTGAAACTAATTTAAAAGTTTTGAAATCTTGTTGAAAAAAAACTCTTTTTTTATTTACTTCTCTGATAACTTACACTGCAAAAATATCTTTTTTAAAAAGGACTTAGACTAGACATACTAGTACTTTACTTTGCATCCTGAAAATATCACAAGTAGAAAAATAATTATGATAATTTTAAAAAGTTCCATGAATTTTCCATGACTTTCAATAAAAATTTAGGAATTCCATGACTTTTTCCATGACGAAATAAAATTCCATGACATTTCCATAATTTTCATGATTTCCATGGCCAGTGGCCACCTTGTTATCATCTTCATTATTATTATTACTATTATAACAAAAATAAAAATAATAATAATAACAATAGTAATATAAACACTAATAACAAAAAAAAAAATTTGATTTGTTGTCCTTATAAAAAATTAGAAAAATAGAAAAAATAGGAAAGATTTTTATTTCATTAACAATAATAAAAAATTTACCATTTGCATAAACATCAAGTCTCTGTCTTCTGGCATAATATACTTTTATAAGTATTGAATCTGCTGACAAGCTATTCAACAACTGTAACCTAGTTGATAAAGGATTGAAAGAAGTAAAATGTAGTTCATATTCTTTAGAGATAGCAACAATTGCATTAAATGTGGATAATCTTTTTTGGCATGTATAACCATGACACCAACCATGATCTTGTGGCCCATTAATTAAATCAATAAAACCTTCTGTAGCAAGAGCAACCTATTAAAAAAATAATTAAATTCTCAAAAATTATTATAATAATTTGAGTAACAATATTGTAAATTTTCAACTTTAAAAATCAGATATTTATTTGATCGCATAATCATATCACATAAAGATTTAATAAAGGACAAATAAAAAAACTTTTCAAGTCTGATAAAAAATTAAGTTTATTACACATTTAAAAAGCTGTTCATTTTCAATCCTAGTATTTAATCATGCATTGATCAAAATATTACCAATAAGAATTTCTATAACTAGCAGAACTATAAACTAATATAAAGTAAATACATAAACTATAAAATACAAAAGTAATGAAAATATAATTTTAACAAAAATACATGACAACTATATTTAAGTAAGAATGAATAAACATAGCTTAATGATTCATTTATTATAATTGTAATAAATATAATTATTAATGTCAATTGAAGTTAACTAAGATTAATTAATTTTGAACATTAGATAGATTAGATTAAAGTTTATTAGAACAGTGATACATGTTCTAAAGGACACGCAGGTCCATTAGACATGTGACATAAAAAAACTTAAAACAAAATGTAAACAATTTTAGAGCTGAGCGAGCTCATTTAATTTAAAATTTTGTAAACAGAAAAAGTGTGTAGAAGTGTTAGAGATTATTTTTAAGGCTTTATATTGAATATTAGATGGTATAAATAAAGCAAGCGATTCAGATTGTTCCCATACTTAACAAATATATCAAATTTGAGATCCAAGTATTGTTTGGCAGATATTTATAAGAGGTTTTTAGTTAGTATATTGGCAGATTTCGACTAATTGAACCATATAAATTTTTGAATAATAAGATTTAAAAGGTTTTAATCAATTTTACTACAAAAATACAGATCTATTCAAAACAGAGACTATTTTTATTCTGCAGAACAATAAAGACATCTCAGAAGAAACATTTCATAAGAAAGTTATAAAATTAATTGTATTGGAAAAAACTAAACCTTAGTTTTTGGGGAGTCAATAACATTTAAACTTTTTTGTAATACTTAGCAATATTGTAACTTTTTTAGACACTTTTCATCGAAAATATATTCACATTTAATTACTCAACAAGTACACAAAATGCACCAGCATTGCTATTTGCAATACCTCTAAAGACTAACTTATGAACACATTAACATATTAACATTAATGTTTATATAAACACATTATGAATGCGTAGTCACATTAAATTCCTTTTTATAAATATAGTTAAAAACAAAGAAAAAATTTGTACTGGAGAAAGTCTTCGAGTTTCAGTATCAGCATCTAAACTTTCAATAATCAACATTTTATAAACAGTATTAACACAAAAGTAAGCTTCCCATTCATTTTTAAATACACATTGATTGCGATAAATTCCTTTGTTAGGAAACAGCTTATTTGCATCTAATCGAGATCCATCTCTTGGGTTTGTGAGAAGTGTTTTTGGAATGCGATAATCACCTAAAAAAACATAAAAAATATTTATTTAAAAATTTTGGCATATATTTAGTATATGACGTGTGTATCAGACAATAGTTTTTTTAATGGTGTTTTTGGAATGCGATAATCATATAAAGATTTACACAATCTTTTAAACTGATACATTTAAATCTATAATGGCCTGCAAACAAATGACCTAAATTTGAAATGAAATTTCTTTGAGTGAAATTAAATTATTAGTCAAAAATATTTGTATAAAATTTAAAAACTGATGTTAAAGGTGCATGGGTGCATGTACAAATGATATATAAAACCAATAGTTTGCGTCTAATTAGGATAATTGAAGACAACAAAAACCTTTTTTTTTCCAACAAACATACATCTCTCTCAAATGTTAAAAACATTTTTAGGTTGCCTAAGTATTGAAACATTATTTGAAATGAAATATCAGGGCCGACGACACAGGTTTTGAAGTTTGAGCACAATCATCAATTTTTGAAAAAATTCCTCTATATCAAGATTTTTCTTAAAGAAGAAGAAAAAAAAAAGTCTTTTAGAAAAAAAGTGTATGTGTGTATATGCGGGGGGGGGGGGGGGGGTACAGTCCCCCTGCACCTGCCCTGGTGTCCTTGGCCCTGAATATCTTAAAGCTATTATTATTTGAGAGGGGTGAATATCAACAAAATAAATTTAAAAGCAGATTTTTTGTATTTATTAAAGATCTCACAAACTCAAAACACAATTTCATTTTTATAAGAAACTAGGGATTATGGTAAGATCTCAAATTGTTAATATAAAATTTTTATAAATAAATCTAAATATTTGAAATATCTAAATTTCTAGTTGATGATGGTAGTTGCTGGTGTCTATAGTTGATGTATAAAGGTGGTAGTTGGTATATGTAAGTGGTAGCTAATGCATGCAGATGCTGTATTTTACTACTTAATATTGATTATTAAAACTTTTCTTAACTATATTGTAAATGTTTTTCAAAATAATTATTACTAAACATGAGCCTCTGTCCCCATCATCATCAGGTTTTTCCATTTTTTACAAATGCTACTGTGATCACTGCTCAAGCGAGCAGTTACTTGTTTCATCAACAATTCAATTTTGCATGATTAAACATTTTTCTAAGTTTTATTCTTAGTGTAAGTTTTATTCTTAGTGTAAATTCCTTTATCTCAAAAATTTTTATTTTTATAGTTTTCCTTGAACATACTTTTGAATTCTTTCCCATTTTTTCCAGACTTATACAATTTACAGTTTTCAAAACTTTGTGTCAAAACCACCATCTTGCTTTTTATCTCTTTTCTTTGTTTTCTGTCTTAAGCTAGTGGTTGCTTGAAGCCTTATTAAAAGTAAATAAAAAAATTGCAATAGATGCTGATAATCCTCAAAATACAAAAAAATAAACATGCAAAAAAGTTCAAAAGTATTACAAAAGCTGAAAATTTTTACAAAAAGTTGTTCAAGACTTAAGTAGATAATTAATAATAATATTAAATAGATTATTTAACATTTGAATTTGTTTTTACTTGTTTTCTGTTATTATACAAAAAAAATAGTAAAATTAAATAACGGGTTATGCATAAGTCTTCGAACTTTTTTGAAACTGATTTAAATAAGGAGAGTAATTTTTCAACCTTCAACTTATTGTTTATTTTGAAGATCAAACATTAATGTATTTAAATCACTTTTAATTTTTATCTAGACTTCTATACAAAAAAAATGACAAGGTTTGATCGAGGAGCCCTCGCAAAACAAACTGTAACGTTCTATGAAAATCGTTCAAGTGATAAAAAGAAATTAACATATAAACATTTTAAAAATGAAGGAATACCAAAGTCAACTATATTTAGTATTTTTGCAAGGTATGAGAAGTATGGTGTGTATAATGATTTGATTAGATCAGGTTGTCCTCAAAAAATGGATAAGAAAAAAGTCAAACGAATGATTAAAATGCTAAATAATTCAACTGGTATTAGTCAAAAGTATTTAGCTTCATATTTTAAGGTGAACCAAAGCTCAACTTCAAGAAGTATTAATTTCAAAACAGATATTAAATGCTACAAAAAAAAAAGCACCTTTTTATGAAAAAGATCAACAACAGAGAGCAGCAACATCATCGAGAAGATTAGTTAATAAAGTATTCCATGAAAAAGATATAATCATGGATGACAAAAAATATTTTAACCTATCAAACTCAATATACCTGGAAATGATATATATTATACAAATAATAAATTGTTAGCCCCTGATAATGTAAAATATAAGTTGAAAAAAAAATTTGAAGAAAAGGTATTGGTTTGGATTTGCATTTCTTCAAATGGATTTTGTGAACCTTATATACATAGATCAAAGAATTCAATAACATCCAATATATATGTGAAAGAATGTATGAAGAAAAGACTTATACCAATTGTTAGAGAACATCATAAAGATAATAATTTTGTGTTTTGGCCAGATCTTACAACTGCTCATAATGCTAATAAAACAGAAAATTGGTTTACTGATAATTCCATAGAATTTGTACAAAAATGCACTAATCCACCAAATGCTCCACAGGCTAGACCAATTGAAACATTTTGGGCTATTTGTAGTCAGATGGTATACAGTGATGGTTGGAGAGCACGTAGCATATATCAACTAGTTCGAAGAATAAAAAAGCAAATTAAATGAAATAAAAGAAAATGATCCAGATCTGTTACAAAGACTAATGATGAGTGTTAAAACAAAACTTAGAAAAATCGCTGGTAGAGGCGTCTATTCAATATGTTAAATATATTAATAAATACTAGAATGAATGTTCTTTATTACCATATAGTTTCATTTTTTTATCTAACTAACAATATTTTTTTACGACTCTATAAAAAAAGTTCGAAGACTTATGCATAACCCGTTATTTTGGAAAACTTTGCACTAAAACTTTATCTAAAATGCAAGAAAGTTGTTTCTTTAAATAATTTGATTTACAATATTTCATATACTAAAACATAAAATATCTTTTAAAGAAGTATTTTAAAAAAATATTAAAATTTATTTGTATTTGTACAGAACTAAAGTTGTGTATGCAAAGAACTGAAATTGCCTAAATAATGTTTAATTATTTGTGAATTATTGAATTTGTTAGCATGTACTTCATAATGTGCCATAAGGTAAAAAGTATATACCTAAACCAAATTGTATATACCTAAACCAAAAAAAAAAAAATCTATATAAGAGAAATAAGATCAAGTCATTTGTTTATCTAATTTTTTAAAAATCTTAAAAAAAAGGTTTTACCTAAAATGATTTTTAACACATTGACACAAAAAATTCAAAAATATTTTAGAAGCTGTTTTAATAGTGTAAAAATCATTAGGATGTTCATTTTTCTAAATAATTTTTTTAAATGCTAAATTTTTGAGGATTGACACCTGATTTCTTATGCCTAAGCCAACTTGCTTACATTAATTAACATATCTACTATTCAGAGCTCTTTTTTTTTTTCGAAAAAATTTTTCTGATTATTCAAGACTTTATTTATATAGAATTTTATGTGTTTTAAATATAGATCTATGAAATTAAATATGGGTAGAATAAAACTTTGATAGGATGTTGATGGTAAACATCATGTTTATAACAAAAAAACTTGTCATTGAATGAAATGAATATTTAACGAAAAAAAAAGTTTTTTTGATTGATTTTTTATTTAAAATCAAAATAGTAGAGTGTGTCACAAAAAAAGCACCCTTTTTATTTTTTTATGTTACTTTCATCACCCTTTTTTTTTGTACTGAATATAATTGTTTCATTGCAGTATGCATCTTTGAAATGCAATGTTGAAGTAAAAGAAAGTATTTTAATTTTAGTCTTATGGAAATAATCATTTAATATAAACAAAAAATGTATACCTAAACCAAATTCTCTATTGCCATCCCATTGATACTCTGATCTTGAAATCATAGAAGCCCAAGAGCTACCAAAAAAAGAACCATCAAGATCTGTCACAAGTGCTTTACGAAGAGCATCACAATCCATGTCTACACAATCTGATGGATTGATAAACCTTGTAGTTGGTACATTATGGTAAATCTGTAATAAAAAACATTACACACATAGTACATATATAATAATCAAAAAATTTAATAATGTTTTTTTGCTGTGCTTAATTTTTAAATTAAAAGCAGCTAAAAATTAACTATTTTCTGAATTTGTTTGTTACACCAATCCTCTTAGCTTAGACCATAAATAAAAGTAAAAATATTTATTTCTGATGATGGGCTAATTTAATTTAGCAAAGAATATAGTTATTGCTAGTAACGTAAATAAATTAGAATACAATTATTATTAATAACATTACAATGCATATTTAACATAAACTACATAACATAACTAACATTTTTTTACAGTAATAAAAAAAGTCAGCAATATAACAAGATGAACAAAATCAACTTTAATAAAATATTAGAAATTTTTTAATTAAGGATTCAACAACTTTGACAAAAAAAAACATTAAAAAAAAAGTACAACGAGTAAGAGTGATTTCCAGATTTCCATTAAGTTCAAAGTCAGGTCAGGTTTTCCTGCTACTGGTAACATGTAACCCAGTACAACCTGCTCCATGTCCTGCTGCCTTGTAGAATACGCTTTTTTAAGCAAAGGCTAGGAAAAGTTAACTCCGAATTAAAACACCCCCTGCCTTGGGGCTCTTAGTTGAGTAAAGGCTAGAGATGGTGTCTCGATAAAAACACTCATCTTGGGCAGATGTTACATGCATCCAGCTGTTGTCTTGTAGAAGGCCTCCTAGGCAAAGACTTAAGGGGTAAACAGATTCTATCTGTTGACCAGCCTCGCACCCCTTCCTCATCTATTAGGCTGGCGCAGATGTATTCTTAATACATTGTTTCCAGTTTAGGATGTTGAACGCTGGATCTTCTTGACTCAATGCGTTAGTATTGCTTGTGTCTCTATTTTTATGACTGGGCAACTCATTCTATTATCTCCTAATGAGGGTACAGCTCTAAAACTCAGTTTTATGGTTCTGAGGCCGGCTGGTAGTCAGGTTTCCCGAACTCTGTGGTAGCTCTCAGAGAGGCTGATTCCATCAACAGCCGAAAAATATCAGAGTACTAACAGTGCCATGTTGCGCATGGATGGTGTCCCTGTTTGTACTTTCGGTGTGCATTGCAGAGGCCACATTTGGAGCCCTTTGTTACGGCTTAGGGTTTATTAATAGTAATGAGGCTATTGCTTAGTTGTTAAATAGTGTACTGAGTACTATCTATACTTGAGTCAAGTTCTTTATAAATTTAAAATGACTAAAGTACCTAAAACTAAAAAACACAAAAAACCATCGTCATCACCAAGTTCTCTAAACCTATCATTTACTAATATTCGTGGTCTTCGAAGTAACTTTTCTTCTGTTGAGTCTTATCTCTTGCAAAGTTCACCAGACCTACTTGCTCTTTGTGAGACTAATTTGAGTTCGGCTGTCCCATCTTGTGATCTTAGTGTTGATGGTTATCTTCCTTTAATTCGTAAAGACTCCAATAATCACATGCTTGGCCTGGGCATCTACATTCGTAAGAACTCACCCATTTGTCGTGAAACTAGGTTTGAATCTACAGACTATTCATTTATGTGCTTTCGTTTAGCACAACTTCACTCTATCGCCTTTCTCTTTGTTCTATATCGCTCTCCTTCATCCCAAGATTGCACTATTCTTGATGTTATTTCTGATCAAATTGACCAAGCCCTCTCTCTTTATCCATCGGCCAATATCAGATCCTAATCAGTGCTCAATTTCTCCACATTCACCCTTAGGTACTTCTGATCACGGTTTGATCTCTCTAAAACTATTATCAAATTCTTCTACTTCATCAGAATCCCCCTATCATCGTACCACATACAACTACCTTAAAGCTGACTGGGACTCTTTCCGTGATTTTCTTCGTGATGGCCCTTGGGTAGAAATATTTCGTCTTCCTGCTAACAAATGTGCTTCTTACATAACTTCGTGGATTCAGGCTGGCATGGAATCTTTTATTCCCTCTCGACGATTCCAGGTCAAGCCTCACTCTTCTCCTTGGTTTTCCTCACATTGCGCTGCAGCAATTTCTAATCGAAACCGTTACTTCCATATCTATCAGCAAAACAATTCTCCAGAAAACAGACATCTGTTCACTATCGCCAGAAACCATTGTAAAAAGGTTTTGTCTGACGCCAAAGCTCACTATTCCCAGGTCATTAAATCTCGTATCTCATCGCAAAAATTAGGCTCTCGAGACTTCTGGAGAATCTTTAACAGTATCAATAATAAGGGCAAATCTGTTATTCCTTCTCTCTTGTATGGGTCAGACTTTGTCACCTCACCTAAAGACAAAGCTGAATTGTTTGCTAAGAACTTTTCATCAATATCATCTCTTGATTCCACTAGTTGCGTTTTACCTGACATAGCCGTCAAACAGGTTGATCCCTTGTATGACATTCGCATCACTTCAGCTTCTGTATCTAAAGTAATTTCCTGCTTAGACTCTTCAACAGCTTGTGGTCCTGACAACATTCCTGTTGTAGTCTTGCAGAGGTGTTCTCCGGAGCTTTCATCCATACTTTCTAAACTATTTAACAAGTGCTTATCAGAGTCTTGTTTTCCATCATGCTGGAAAGCAGCATCTGTTATCCCTATTTTCAAAAATTCCGGAGAGCGATCCGATTCATCTAACTACCGTCCCATTAGTCTTCTTCCTGTCATAAGCAAGGTTTTTGAATCTTTAATCAACAAACACTTAATCTCTCATCTTGAATCAAATAACTTACTTTCTGATCATCAATATGGATTTCGGTCTTCTCGTTCTACAGCTGATGTGCTAACAGTAATAACCGATAGGTTTTACCGTGCATTAGATAGAGGTGGAGAGGTTAAGGCTATCGCACTTGACATTTCTAAAGCTTTTGATAAAGTTTGGCATGCTGGTCTTCTCCATAAGCTTTCTTCTTATGGTGTAGCTGGTAACGTCTTTAAGATTATTGAGTCCTTTCTTTCCAATCGTAGTATAAAAGTTGTCCTCGATGGACAACACTCTTCTTCACATCCTTTAACTTCAGGGGTTCCTCAAGGTTCAATCCTTGGCCCTATACTCTTTTTAATTTACATTAACGATCTTCCAGATATTCTCACATCTAAGGTGGCATTATTCGCTGACGACACTACCATTTACTCTTGTCATGATAAGAAGCCAGCTCTCTCTGATTGCTTGGAGGGGGTATCTGAGCTTGAAAAGGATCTCACTTCTGCTACAGCATGGGGCTCACAGTGGCTGGTGAACTTTAATTCAGATAAAACTCAATTTTATTTGGCCAATCGTTATCGTAATAATTTAGATCTTCCTATATTTATGAATGGTAATGTACTAGATGAGTCATCTACCATTCATCTTCTAGGATTAACTCTTACTTCTAATCTTTCTTTTAAACCGTATATCAAATCCATTGCAAAATTAGCATCTGCTAAGGTTGCATCTCTTTATCGAGCTCGACACTTTCTTACTCCAGATTCTATTCTCTATCTCTATAAATCTCAAATCCGTCCCTGTATGGAATACTGTTGCCACATCTGGGGCGGATCTTCTAATGATGCCCTTTCTCTTTTAGACAAGGTGCAAAAACGAATTGTAAACATAGTTGGACCTGCTCTGGCAGCCAATCTCCAACCTTTGTCACATCATCGTAATGTTGCTTCTCTTTCTCTTTTCTACAAATAATATAATGGGCACTGCTCTAAAGAGCTAGCGTCCCTTGTGCCATCTACTAAAATTCATTCTCGTGTTACTCGCCATTCAATTAAGTCTCATCCTTTTTCTGTGACTGTTCCTAAGTGCTTCAAAAACTCTTATTCTTCTAGTTTTTTTCCTCGAACATCAGTTCTTTGGAATTCGCTTCCTTCATCTTGCTTTCCTGATTCATATAATTTGCAATCTTTTAAGTCATCAGTCAATCGTTATCTTGCTCTACAGATTTAGTCTTCTCTCTTCCAGTAACTTCCAACTCTTATAGTGGTTGCTTGCAGCCTTGTTGGAAGTGAAGATGTTAAAAAAAAAAAAAAAAAAAAAAAAAAAAAAAAAAAAGTTGGAATTACATATGCCACTTTATAGCAAGGAAAAAATGTATTAAAGAAAGTTTTGGAGAACATCTTGGTAAAACTGCAACAGTAGTAAAGAAGATTATTCAAAAAGTTTTGTATGCCAAAGTTTTTAAATAAGTTAAGAAGATTAGGCAAAAAGCTATTAAACAATGTTTTTTCACACTCATTAAATAAAAGAATAAATTGCATAATTTGAATAAAAGAATACAATTGCATAATGATATGATTTATCAATTCCTCTACACACTTTTATTTTCACATGTGAAAAATTGATTAATCATTAATCTATTATTTTGTATAAAAAAAAGATAAAAAAAGTATAAATTGAGCTTGAATCATAAAAATAAAATATTAGAAATAAAATAAAGATTAATAATAAAGCATATTAAAGTAAATTAAAAAAAAAAAAATTAACATAAATTGGATGATATGCACTGTTAAAAGGTTTTTAACTTGGCACAACTGTAAAAAAAAAGAACTTGAGAAATATAAAAAATAATTTGTTAAAAAAGTGCTTAATGACACAATACATGTCATTAAGGTAAAGCACTTTATAGAAACATTTCAAATAGTTTAAATTTACATATGTTATCCAGGTTGCATATATTCTAAAAGTTTTAGCTCAAATGAAATAATAAAAGTGTAGGAAATAAAAAAAAAGACCTTATTTACAATCTTAATCTACAATCTTGATTTAGGATCTTTGATAAACTTATAGTAAAATTAAGATTCAAAATTTACTAGACCAATGATGTTTTTTAAATTGAAAGCTGCAAATGGAAGGTTTAACTATAACTATAATCAAGTATTAACTATCTTTGTAATTGCAATTGTTTGAATATAAAAACATTTTTTGTAAATTTTTTCGTTCTTTATTATTAGTACTATGAATAGTTATGATGTCATAAACAAGACAACAAATAGTATAATGTAAAAACTTTTTTTGCTATCCAATGAAATAAATGATTAAATCAAATTAATGAAAAACTCTTGTAGTTAATTTATAACCAAGTTGAATATTTTAAAATTTTTTCATACAAACAATTAAAGAAATTAAAAAAATTAATAAAAAAAATATATAAGACTTACCAGATTGTTGATATTAACATTAACTAAAGTTGAGTTTTTCAATTCTGTAGGATGAATAATATCACCATAAATAATGTTAGTCGTCCACACAACATCAGGTTTAGTTAAACCACAAGTTGACTGAAACGAACTAAAAGTAACACCTTCCATACGCAGCAGTCCTTTAATTGCAGGGTATGACATAGGATTTTCAAATGGTTTGGGAGGACCAGGTGATTGAGATTTAGAGAAAGTTGAGCAATATATTCCTAAATTGCCACCTGTTTAATGATTAAATAAAAGTTATACTTAATACATACAAAATGTATAAAAAATATTCAAAAAATAGTTATGCAAACTAGAACCACTTCAGAAAAAACTAGCAATAAAATAGACATACCTCCTGGAAGACGAGGTGATCTTCTTGATGGATAAAATGTTGAATGGTATGGAATAACATCATCTTCATTACAACCAAAATTAGTTGTTCGCCCAACTAATAAAGTATCTTGAACTTTTGCAAAATTGTTTGCTGACAAATGTGCAACAGGATCAGGATTAAATACATTTAAACTCAAACCAATCTAAGATAAATATTTTAGAATGTAAAAATAACTAATAATCCTTAATATAATTTATTTAACATAATTATGCAACAGCATAAGCATAATTAAACAAGAAAGAAAATAAATAATTATAATCAAAATTATTTTACTTTATTATCAGCAATAATACAATTTTTAACAACAATAGGCCAGTTAGGCCATGTATAAATTCCATAGTCCAAATTTTTCCATATTAAAAAGTCTTCAACCTTCCAGCAAAATGTTGTGGTATCACGAAAATGTATGCCATGAAGAGTAGAATGAATCTAAAAGCATCAAAAAGTTATAGATAGTTATATAGTTAGTAGCTATTAACTCTTGTATCTGTTGATTCTAACTTATGTTTTCTGTTAATTCTAACTTATGTTTTCTGTTAATTTTATATTTAATAAAATAAATTCACAAATAGATTTAAAAGCAATCAATAATCAATAAATTAATAAGCAAATCAATCATTGTGTTTACTAAATTATAATAATTAAATTATTCTTATAGACAGTACAAAAACTAATTTAAAGTAGAACTGCAATCAAAATGATGTATCGTTGATAATAAAATAAAAGTTATTGTAAAAAAAAAAAACATTATTATTAACCATATTCTCCCCTGTAACGTATTATGTATTACATTGAGTTCTTAAGATGCATCTGTATTTTTAAATCATTCAAAATTTTTGAACTTAATCTCAATCTCAATCTCAAGCAATATCACTCTGAATTTTTTTTTCTCACACTATTTGTTTATGGCAATAATTAATGTGACTACCTGGAGTACTAACTACCTGGAATAATAGTTACCTGAGTAATAATTACAAGGAGTGCTAATTACCCAGAATAATAACTACAGCTAGGACACCACAAAAACATCTGATTGTACAACAACTTCAAAAAAAAATCTCTTTTCAACTTGAATCAATGTTGCACTATAATACAAAATCACAATCAAATTATTCACAACCATTATCATCATTAAAAACTTGCATTGTGTTTGCTTTCTCAATTTTTGTTCAATCAGCAAAATAAAAATTTCATTAGAATTCAGCCGAATTCAACAACAACAACAAAAAAAAACACATCCTTGAAAATCTTTCTAGAGTACTGATTTGAGAGATTTGGCACCTTGCAAATTTGCTGTTTTCAGCAAAATTAAGCTGACTAATTATTAAGATATTTGGAGCCTAAAACAGCAGATCACAAAAATTGTCATTGCGATGCCAAAAGAAGAGTAGTTAAAAATGTTTAAGAAGTTTCTAGAGCTAATGCAACTATATATGGATAAAAGTGGCAAGAACTTTGAACAAATAAACATTTTAAACATATATGCAGGGTGTTGGCCAGCCTGATGGCACCGCGTATAACGCGGAATTCCCAATTTTTTTAAATTACCAAATTGTTATTAATAAGCTTAGATTTAGAGAGTTGTAGAAATACTACGAAACGAAGAAAATAAGAAAGTACACGAAACGAAGTAAATGATTCAGTCCATTGAGAACAATTACTTTCTTTATAAAATAAAAAATAGCATTGCAAGTCATTCATTCAAAAATAAAGTTAAAACTGACGTCTTGTTTTCTTTATGCTTAAAACGTAGCTTTTTTATTCGCTTTTTTTATTCAAACTTTTTGTTTACAATAAATAATTTTAAAATAACACATGCTGTTTATCTTTAGTTGGAAAAGTAACAAAGAAATTAGCATAGTGTCATTTCCAAATTTCTTTTAAAATTTTACATTTTTAAAATTTACATTTTGAAATTACTTTTAAAAAAAGATAAAAAAAGTTATTTATTAAGTAAGCTATATTTGCTTGTGACGCATTTTAGTGTAAGCATTTTAATATTAAGTTAACAAATCATTTGTGCTTATAAATGTTTTCAAGATTTGCAATTTTTACCAATTTTTTTTAAATTTACAAATCAAAATTTTTAATAAACAAATAAAAGAAGTTTAGTTTAGTAAAACAAAATTTACAAATACAAAAATCAATTTTTATTAATTTGCACATACTAAAGTTACCACTTTAGCTAAATTTATCGCTAGATATTTACTTGCGCGATCAACAAATCTTCCCCGGCGTTAGTTGTTTATTGAATTTAATTCTAAAATACCATGAAGCAGTGAAATTTCTTATCAATAACTTTTTATTCCATAGAAATTCTATTCTATTACAAAAAATTCACTCAAAAGACATTGACGTTCTATTTGTCTAAAGCAACAAAAACTTTTTTAACAACGAAAACTTTTTAATTTTTAACATTCTATTTGAAAAAATTCTATTGAAAAACGTTCCGCTTCAAAGACCTTAATATTCTTGAATGAATTTGACGTTCTATTAGTAATTTAGATTCAAGTCAATAAAATAAAAGCGGCAAAAAAATGCCTTCAAATAATGGAAAATACTATTTTAAAAAGAAATATAAAAAAATTCAATCAAAAACTATTGTAAAGTTATTTGAGAAACATAAATAAACAAGTGTGCAAAACTATAGTCAACAATGTACATCAATAGTAAGTGAAAGTTCTCATCAGTCTACATCAATAGTTAGTGAAAGTCCTCATCCGCCTATCAGTAGTAAGCAAAGTTATCATCAGTCTACATCAGTAGTAAGCGAAAGTCCTCATCGGTCTATATCAGCAGTAAATGAATGTACTTATCAGTCTACATCATATTGAGGCAAAAACCTCCTCAGTCTGCATTAGCAGTAAGTGAAAGTGCTCATCATTCTACATCAGTAGTATACCAAAGTCCTCATCAGCCTACATCAACAGTAAGCGAAAACAATAAAAACACAATTCTTTTAACTTCAGTTCTTGGAAAAAGAAAAAATAAGAAAGTCAAACCAGAACAAATACCAATCAAAAATGTAGAAGACCTACGACTCAAAACAACACAAAAGTATGAGGTGTTATTTCCCGATTTTTTTTATTCGTCATCAAAACAAGGTTGGTTTTGTAAAGTTTGCATATCGTTTGCCCCTGGAAAAAAAAGTAGCCGTGCATTTATTAAAAACCCTGGCAAATTTGCAGATCACCCCTCGGAGCGTGCTAACGATCACTTAAATACGCATAGGCATACTATAGCTTTACAAAATAAACAAGCTTTTGATGAAATGTCTAAGCAAGACTCGAATATCTGGAAAATGCTGCGTGAAAATACCCTTGCAAAAGAAACATTAAAAACAAGCACTTCTTGCTTTGTTATTAAAACCTTCTTTCGAGTCACGCATTTGTTAATCATTAAAAACTGGGCACATACTCATAATTTTTCTGACATTATTGAACTTATTGCTGCGTGTGGTTGTAAAGAAGTTAAGGCGCACATTTTGTCTAGCCCAGCAAATGCAACATACATGTCTCCGGAATATATTGCTAAGTATATAAATATTATCTTTGATTTCATCAAAAATCCTCTACTCCAGTCACTTAAAAATGGTGGTAGTTTTTCTTTTTTTTCGGATGAAACTGCTGATATTATGTCGATTGAACAGTTAACTATATATGCCACTTTTGAACACAACAGCATCGTAAAAGAACATTTTATAGGATTAGTTCCTTCAAGTAAGGTCACCCGCTCTAGTCTATCAGCTCCAAATGTTTTTGATGTTATTCAAATATTTTTTAGAGCTAATAATATCTCATTTAAAAATGCTCGCTTTGCTTGTATGGACACAACAAGTGTTAATTCTGGTATAAAAGAAGGTTTAAAAGCCTACATCGAGGATGCTGTGCCACTGTGTGTTTGGGTTGGGTGTACAAGTCATAAACTTGAGTTATGTTTTAAACATATTTTAAAAGACTTTCCTACTATTATAGAAGTAGATATTTTTTTACTTAACCTATGGAAGTTTTTTAAGTACCGCACACTAGCCATGCATTTGCTGCAGGAATGCTCCAAAATCTACGGAGAACTAGAAACCATAGTTCCAGTGTGTCCAAGTGTAACACGTTGGACTGCACACAATCGAGCTTGTTTAGTCGTGTTTAAAGGTTATAAAACGATTTTAAAATTAACCGATGGTTTATAAACGGTTATAAAAACGGTTATAAAAAGGTTATAAACCGATTTTTTAATTAACCGATGTCAACATGCTATACCGAACGAAAAGAAGCAGAAGCGCTCGAGCTATTTATACAAGCGAGTTCACAATCTAACATCGCAACAATACTAATGCTCTTAGATGTCTTTGAAGCAATTCGCCCGCTTGTCCTAGCGTTACAAAGTTCGCAAGTGGAAATTAGTCTCAGCGACATTCCAACTTATGTGAATCAAGCTAATCATAGTTTAGTTGATTTAACCTCGGGTACTTGACGAAAGTATTTCACGCAAAAATATTTTATCGAAATGAAATCAGTGACAGATGAATTAGCTTTTTCGTTACCAGCGACGAGCCGATTAAAAAAAAATAATAACTTCGACTTAAGTGAGTTTGAGTTAAATGTTTTTATATCTTTTGTTTATCTTACTAAGAAGAATCGCTTTAAATATGTTAAACTTTTCAAACTACGCGAAACATAAAATAGGTATTGAAAAAATTAACTTTTTTATTTATAAAATAAATTTTTAACAGTTTTAAAAGTGAGCTAAAAAACACTTTCTCGCAAATGGATTTTTGGCAATCGCTTTCGATTTTTGACCCAAGACAATTGCCTAAAACACTCAACCAACTGTCTAGTTATGGTAAAAAAAGCTTAGAGCAACTTATAACTCACTATGGCAGACCAAAAAGCAGCAACAAACTTGGAGCATTACACATTCAAGTTCCAGATATCTCAGAAACCGAGACAAAAAACGAATTTGAAAGTTTCAAAATTATTTTATTTACTAAACGCCGAGAATGGGAAAATAGTTTTGATATACGTATATCGAAAGAAAAAGATCAAGAAGTAGTCAATAATTTAATTAAGTCAAGAAATAATTTTATGCCTCAAGAGTTATGGAAAGTGATTAATAATGACCCTGTTTTGATAAGTGTTTATGCTAATTGTATGTTTTTAACTAAGTTACTCATTATATTTCCTTTGAGTGTAGCATGCGTTGAAAGATTTTTTTCAAAATTAAAAATAGTTAAAAACTGTATTAGAAATCAGCTAAGCCATAGCACATTAGAAAGGTTGATGATGATTGCGACAGAAGGTCCAAAGGAGTGTTTTGACAACGATTTGTTAGAGTACTTTGTTGACAAGTTGAAAGGCAAAAATCAAAATATGAGAATTAAGTTGTAGATTTAAAATTTACAACGTAAATCTCATTTTTATTTTTTTATTTGAGCTTACAGACAATTAGTAAATATTTAATTTTTGTAGTTTTTTCACGGAATCTTCTCGTTGATTTCTTGTATTCCAGCCGTGTTTTTACAATTTTTGTTTGTCGTAGTTAACTGAACTTTTATTTGTATCTAAAATAAAAGCTTTTTGTTCCCACAGGAAGTCCTAAACTTTAGAGCTAAATGGTTTTAATAATCGTTATCTTGTGCATTAGATATTATTAGACGACTTCTTGCAACATCAGCTAGATTTCTTAAACCCAATCATTACTTAATTTTGTTAAACCCAACCGTTACCTAAATAAACAATCGTAAATAAATAAAGATTGTACGTCAAGAAACGCTCGTTTAAAACGCGCATAGCGGTCCAAGTTTATCTGAAAGCTAACTAGTTTTTCTTATCGCCGATGACGTTTAAGGCAAAGTTTAGAACAATGAAGACTTAAAATTTACACTAGCAAATTCTTTATCGATAAAAGTTAGATTATAAAATTAGCTTGCAAAAGTATGAATATCTGTTTAAATATAAAAATGGTTAAAAAAAAGGTTTTAAGTATTTTAAACAAATTAATAAAACTTTTTTTGAAAGAAGATAAACGTTAAAACTAGATAAACATTAAACTGTTAAAAAGTTCAGTGGAAAAATTTAAATTTTACATTTACTATAAAAAAACGCTACCGTCGCTTTAATTTTTTTCTTAAAGTCACTGTAGTGATTTCTAATTGGTTGATTTTTTTTTTTAATTTAGGAAATGCATGCCCAAACCAAAACCCTTAATTGATGGGTAGGCTCTCTTGTCAAACCGTTATTCAAAAACAATATAATATATATTGTTTTTTTGCATTTTCGGTCCTTAAGGTCCGAAAATGCAAAAAAACGACTTCATTTAAAAGAAAACCCGCCTACCCCAAACCTTCAGTCGTTGTTTGCACATTCCGCTGCATGTTCTCTCTAAAAATCAGTCGGTGTATGTGCACACCGCAGCACAAATCCCTATATACCCTATTTTGCCTATTTTCTAGAAATACAAGCTCGCGGACGCAAAGGATTAATAATTACAGATATACACGCTGTAAATCATCGTTTAAACTTTTTTTATAAAATATAATATATTTTTTTATGATATTAAATCATAAAATCATACATTTAAGAATGCGGCTCAACATAATTTATTTGCTTTTATTAAAAGATATATTTGCGCGTATTTTGGTATAACTCTTTATTTGAAATAATTAAATGCATTGGTGTCATATTGATATTATTTTCATATTGTGGCATTTTTTTCATTATGGGACATAATATGATGGGAATTAGAGTTTACGGTTTTTACCCGAGAGTTTTGCATTACCTCAAACGTGTTTACTTTGTATACTTTATGACATGAAATGTACAAGGCATTGTGTATGTTGAGCACAAAAACTTGCAATTTTTTTTTTAAACATTTATTTAATTTTTAAGAAAACAACATTATTAAGAGCCAATGACTATTTTGATTGAGACAAGTAATTTTGGTTTTTTTATCCAATTGTTCTGTTAAACAAATTGTGTTTTTTAAGTAAAATTTCTGATCTTTATAAATGGAAAAATATGATATTAAAACCTTTGTTTATAAACTAATTATAAATCACAAAACATTTTAGGCGTTTCTATATACCCTATTTTGCCTATTTTCTAGAAATACAAGCTCGCGGACGCAAAGGATTAATAATTACAGATATACACGCTGTAAATCATCGTTTAAACTTTTTTTATAAAATATAATATATTTTTTTATGATATTAAATATTACTTTAAATAATATTCCTTTTAATATTATTTAAAAGCGATATCAAAGTATCACACCGTTAATTTTTTATTTGAAAATAAAAGATGCGAGCTTTTTTTTTTTTTTTCACTCAACAGTTGACGGCAACCTAAATTCCCAATACTATGAAAACGCTGTATATATTTTATTCCTGGCTAACACCCTGATATGTACTGTTGATTTTTAATTTAACATATCTTCTTGATAACCTTTTTCTTCTTATAGAACCTTATAATTTATAACCATAACTTGATAACCTTAAGCAATGTAATTAGGCAAGCAATTAAAAAAAAACAAAGTTATCAAAATTGCAAGCTAAAGAGAGGTTTTCAAGTTATGTTCTGTTTTTGCAAGTTGAATAGATATATTTGGAATTTTTGTTTAATAAATTGATTTTAAAATGAAAAGTTTTCCATAGCATTTTAGAACTTGAGATTTTGTATAAAGTTAGTGATCTTTTAAAAAACCATGTTCTTGCGCTTAATTTACCAAACAATTTTTTATGGTAGTCATAAATTACCAACTTACTAACATAATAAAGACTCTTAGCTTTAGTAAAAATAAAAAAAAAAAAAAAGTAGAACAACAAAACTTTATAAACAATGAATGGAAATGAATGAAAATGAAACCTCATTATTGTAAATACGTTTTATTGCATCATTATCATTGCAATCTACACCACGAGTAATTAAACCATTCTTTTCACTTCCAGCTATACTATTTCCATACATAGTGTAGTTTTCTGCATTATGCACCTGGATTGCCCCGGGCCATTTCATATCAAACTGGTATGCACTAGTCTAAAAAAATATTAAAAAATTGTATTTCAAATGCAAATATTTAACTTGAAAATTTTTTAGAAACAATAATAATATGCACGTACGCATATTATTAATGTTTCCATGTGCACAAGTCACGAGAGAGATGTTTGAAATGTCTAACTGCAAAAGTAATAATTAAGACTATGGAAAGGGTGAACCTGATGTAGAAGATGATGATGTAGATGACAATGATATCTGATCTAAAAGAGTTACAAAGTGTTTTAGTGAGATCAAAGTGTATGTTTTAGTGAGATCAAAGTGTATGTTTTAGTGAGATCATAGCATGATATGAACCATCTAAAGGAAAACAAGGAGAAACTGAACACAAGATAGGTCAAAGAAAAGATGTAAAATGAAAAATTGAATGTAAGGTTTGTTTGGAAAATAGTTCAAAACGTTTACTATTGAGTAAGTGAGACAAACATTTTGAGTTCAAGAGTCAGTTGGACTAGTGAGTTAATAGTATTTAAGTCACCAATATCAATAATATTAGGGATAACAATGAAAGTTATCAGTAATTATAAGATATTATAACATAATAATAAATAAGAAGGTATATATTGTCAACTCGATCAGAAAAAAGATAAAAAAAGAGAAGTCTTGGTAAGAATAATAATAAAGAACAATAAGAAAAGTGATTTGATGAAAAAGGTGATAAAAGAGACCATATTAAAGAACAGTTAGAGGATTCATACTTGATTTTATGACAAAAAATAATTATTATGTAAGTATAGCCCAGACCAAACATAATTATTAGAGTCTTTACAAATCAAAGGGAAAAAACATTTTAAAATTAATTAAGGTCAAACTCTTAGACTCCAACACATTTGATGAAATAATATTTAACACATAAAGTTTGACTCAAAAAGAGTAGTCAGATAAAAAGTTATCATTTTAATATTTTTCACAAATATGATAAGAAACAATTATTTAAAAACTTATATAATTATTTTTTAAATATAAATATTAAATAGAGTTAGTGAATTGCAACATCATAGCTAAAGGGTTTATAAAATAATTGAAAAGAAAAAGTTAACCATAAAAGTTCCTTCAGCAAGAGATAATGTGACAAGATTTTCAATGATGCTGTTGGTACTTCCTTCAAGATCAATTCCAGGTCCCACAGTATGGTGAATGACATTGTCTGATATAACCAAATTGTTTGTCCCATACACACCAATTCCCATATTATAACCATCATGAAATGATGATCCTTTAACAAACGATGGATTTTCATCTGTTACATCGTCAATATTTAAAAATGCTAAAGCATATCTTTGAAAAAAAAAAAATATATATATATATATATATAAATATATATATATATATATATACATATATATATATATATATATATATATATATATATATATATATATATATATATATATATATATATATATATATATATATATATATACATACATAAATATATATATATATATATATATATATATATATATATATATATATATACATAAATATATATATATATATATATAAACATAAATTTTTTTCAACAAAATTTTATAACGAACTTATAATATAATACCATACCTAATTCACATAAAACAAAAAATCTGTAAAATACCACTTCATAAGTAAGAGGTATGGAATAAAAATTCAGATTGATCCCTGATAAAACCATATATTCATACACTCAGCATATATTCAACTTGTTTTTATGAGTGAGCCTTGTTTGTCTTTTTGTTACTTTTTTTGTTAAGTTACTTTTTTGGAATCAGAGGATTGAGAGAGATTTGTCATAAAAAAAAGCTGTTTCAATCATAGTGGTATCCATCAGTCTTGTGCAAATAAGTACTTAAAAAGTAAATATATACTTGCTGTGGTATAACATGAAATTTATGAAATTGCATTAAACCAGAAAAGATGTTTTAATAAGTAACATATATTTAAAAAAGCGTTTTTCATTGTTTTATAGGTAACAATCAGTTAAAAAAGGGATTAGAACCAGTGAAATTCTTTTTGATCATTTCAATATCTATGTAATGCCAAATTTTATTCAATTTATTATTTTCACATCATAATAAATCAATATATTATTTTGTAGTAAATTTATTATTCTTTCTTTACATAGATAATATTCAGCCAAAATGTTAGGATAAGTGTTTATGTTAATAAGTATTTGTTTAAATAAGTTAGTTGATGAATAATGCATTTTATTTTGTTTTATATTTAATATTTAAATGTTAAATAATTTAGTTAATAATTTAAAAAGGATTTTGAAAACACTCCAACACCAAAACCATAAGTAAAGTACAAGTAATTTTGGTTTTTTTATCCAATTGTTCTGTTAAACAAATTGTGTTTTTTAAGTAAAATTTCTGATCTTTATAAATGGAAAAATATGATATTAAAACCTTTGTTTATAAACTAATTATAAATCACAAAACATTTTAGGCGTTTCTATAAAATGGGTTAAAAGAAATCTTCCGGCGCTCAAAAATGTGCTAAAGTTACTAAAAAAGCAGCAGAAAAAGCAAAAAATAGACAAACTTTAGAGGGTATGGGATTTAAAAATAAAACACAGACCAAAGAAATGCCTTTTCATCAAACTTTAATTAAAAAAATTACAAACAAAAATTAAGCCCCTAAGTAAGTTACCTGATTTTTGTATCATTTTTTTTCTTGTAACAACTTCTGATATTATAATCTGTTGTTATTAATAACTTTTTTCCTTAAGGATCCTTACAATAATGAACATTAAATATTGGTAATAAATAATGCTAACCCTTTTTTGTGGCCAGTTGTTTTATGTCAAAAAATTGAGATTTAATCATTTTATAGGGATCCTTTTTACATTCTTTGAAGCAACAAGATTATACCTGTGATTCTATAAAGTGAATCTTTCCTTTAAATGTGTTTTATCAATCTTTGTCTAATAAGGAAAAAGTAGAAATAGATTTTTTGGTTTGGAGCTGAACCGCCAAAGCTCACTACTGTTTTCTTTGCTCTTTCTTGAGTACAAAAGCAGTATTTAAAGGCAAGGAATTGTCCCTTCTTTATTGGATAGAAAAGCTAGGGATCAACTAAGGAAACTCATAGATCATATGAAGCAACATCAATACAGCCCATTGTACCAAAAGTTCTACATTAACTGGTATAAGGCATTCATTTGTCTTACCAGCTTCACTGGTATTGATTTAGAGCTTCAGAAGCAAACCGATTCTGAAACAGCTAAATGGAGGACTATTCTACGTGGAATTTTGGATGTGTATTTCTATTTTATTGGCTCTTTTCTTGACTTCTAGAAGTTTAGTTCTTCTAGATAACTTGTAACAAAGTTCTCTTAAAATCAACTTTAATTATTTATATAGCTATTGTTTTATTTTTTATTATATATTTATTTATTACTATTTATTATAATTATTATTATTTATTAATACTATTTATTTATTATTTTTATTATTTATATAGCTCTTGTAATAATTTAATTATACTTCCAGGTGAAACAACAGACATAAATGGGAAAGGAAATGAAAACTCTCTTAATGGTATAGATCTTATTAGTTGCCAAAAACCCTTTGTTTCTCCCCACTTGGAAGATGTAAGACACCATCAATAATTAGACTCCAAAATGAGTGCCTATTACCTCTCACTTTTGTTTCAAAATGAATTAATCAGAGAATGTGGTGGTATCACCCAAAAGACAGTTATCAAATAATTCCAGGATGGTAGCCCTGATACATCACACTGAGTAGATAACCTTTGTTATTTAATTTCTCCTCTATAAATAAGAACCTAATTGCTGGCAAATCAAAGAGAAATTCTTGTGTGAAGAATTCTTTTGAGAAAAAGAAAGTCAATATAGCTAATCATTTTACTGATTTGGTAATTGCTTATCAAATCAGTGAAATGATTTTCAACACTATTTATATGTCAGTTGCTGATGGTGAACAAATGTTTAGTAAACTGAATAATGTAAAAAACTCTTTCTGTTTGACCATGGACCAGGGTCGCGTTACTGATCTTTTGATTATTTTGATCAAAAAGATTTGGCTAAAAGAGTGAACAACAAAAACGCCATCAATATTTGGGAGGCCAGATAAGCTCGAAATAATTTATTTTTAAGTGCCTTATTTATCTTTCTTGAAGATTTTGTTGATTGATATTTTTTCAATTCAATACATTTATATATGTATATACTTTTTTCAATTTATATATACATATGTATATGTATATATATATATATATATATATATATATATATATATATATATATATATAATCTTTGAATGTCATTTTTTTGTTATAAGTTAAAATATGGTTAGAATTCAATAAATACGGCTGCGTATAAACCTTTTTTAAATATATGTATAATTTTTTCTTTAATATATAATTATTTCGATATTTTGCTGATCAATTATGATCAGCGTCATTAGGTATAATAAACAAAATAGTTACAAACGATTTTGTAACTATTTTGTTTATTATACCTGATGACGCTGATCACAATTGATCAGCGAAATATCGAAATAATTATATATTAAAGAAAAAATATATATATATTTAAAAAAAGTTTATACGCAGCCGTATTTATTGAATTCTAACCACATATGGGATAGGATTTTTCAGCTAATAACATTCCGACAATTCAAAATGTTATAGCGACTTTTTATAACATTACCATGCACCTTACAAATAAAAAAATGAAGATGAACCCTTGCTTACTGAAATTTAGAATAAAGTGCCAAAATGTGGTTTAGAGGATTTAAGTGACAGAATTGCACATTTTCTACACCCATATTATTGAGGAGCAGTTTTAGAAAAATTTGAAGTAAGTTTAACTATAAATTTTATTAAAAATTTAAAAAGTATTATAACTTTGTGCTATTTTTTAATGTTTTGAATCAACCAAAAAGCAAATAGTAGCTATCTACAACCATAACCCTGGAAGAGTTATTTCTGTAGCAAACACAGAAGATTTTCAGTTCATGGAACCAATTGACTTTTGTGTTGCCAGTATATTACATGTCAAAGATATTGCAACGGGTGATATGTCTTTAAATGAAGAGAAAATGTCCTCTTGTTTTTCAATGCCGAAGCCTGTCACCAGAAGCAACACAAACGTTTTAACCTGGTGGAAAGGCAACTCAAAGCTTCTTCTCAACTTGGCTAAAATTTCCAGATCCATATTTTGCATTTCTGTATCAAGTTCCCCATCTGAAAGGGTTTTCAGTTTGTCAGGAGATATTGTAGTAGGGAAAACCTTTGGACTGACACAATAAGACAATAAGTGTTTTGCCATGATAACTTTGAGAATATTAAAGTGAAAAACTGGAAATTAAAAGATTCTATGAATGAAAAAGAAAAAGAGTGATAGCTTTTCTTTCTTTTACTATGGACAACTATGTCTAAGAATTGCTGTCTGTCTGTTTCTAACTAATTACTGTCTGTCTCTAACTAATTACTATGTCTGTCTGTCTCTAACTATGTCTGATTAATGATGTCTGATGTCTAAGTATTTTAACACTAATTTTATTTTAATATTGATATATATATATATATATATATATATATATATATATATATATATATATATATATATATATATATATATATATATATATATATATATACATATATATATATATATATATATATATATATATATATATATATATATATATATATATATATATATATATATATATATATATATATATTTATTTGATGATTTTATTAAAATTATTAAGTTATTTTAATTATTCACTTAGTTTTAATTGTAAATTTATTTAATATAATATTTTTACATTTTTTTTATTTTAAAACTAAGTTGAATTATTTATTTTCCTTAATTTCTATAACTAATTTTATTTATTTTTAATATTATATTAAAATAAATAAAATTAGTTATAAAAATATATTAAATATACTAAATATATTTTAATTAACTATTAAATGTATTTTTGAGAATATTGTTTATAGGTTTAAAACAATACCTTGGGTCATAACTGTTTGTATAACCAAGTTGACCACAGCTTTTAAACTCAACTTCAGATATTCTTGCTTTACCAACTGATGTTATGCCATCTTGTGTATACTTCCCAACCAAAACTCGACATCCAAAACCATCATTTGTTACTGATCCTTTTGGTTCATTTGCACCTTCAATTATGATATTTCGAGATAATAATCCAACTTTAGCACTCATGCTAAAATTTCTACCATTAATAGAATGCAAAGAAGCAGTATGAGAATACTGAGATGGTGTATCAACTTTGAATCTTCTTCCATCATTAAAAACTGCAACAATAGTAAACTTTTCTGCTTGTCGAGGTTCAAATGTAGATGTTGTCACTACAATTACATCTCCAACAACCCAATCTGTTTTATCAATAACACTCAAAAACTGAGCATTTTTTTGCATTGTTTCATTTAAACGTGTCCAGTGCACTTTATGAGGATTTCCAAACATTGATAAATTACCAAAAACTCCTAAAGCTTTAGAACCAAGGTTAGGTCCATTAGGTAATGGAAGATCTTGTGTGGATTGATCACCCCATAAACTTATTAAAACAAACAAAGTTGATGGGAATGGTTGATCTGGACGACCAATTATTAATTGTCCCTCATCAGAAATAATTATTATATTTGCACGAATTGTATGGTTTCTATTCATAGCAAGCTCAAGTGTTCCATATATATACAAACGAACCATTATAGGTATGTATGCATTCTTATCCACAATCACATATTGACCTGCGCGTATCATAACTGTATCATTATCTTTTGGCAAAGTGTTGTTGTAACCTCCATACTCTTTTGTAATATTTTTCCAAGTTTGAATATCACTCCAATTTGTTGGTGCTCCAAAAGCACCCTTTATTACAGGTGGAAGTGTTGGGACAATGCATTTATCAAAGTAACATCTGTAAACTTGTAAATCAATATGCTGGCTTGGGGGATTATTAGGGTCAACAGTAGCATCGTTCTCAATTAGATATGTAACACTTTTAGAGCTGTTATCATAAAACCAATTTCCGTGTTTATAATTAGCAGCAACTGGAAACTTTTTTGTGTTGTTAGTTGGTACATTTGTTGTTAAAAAGTAATCTGGTTCTTGCATAAAGTTATGAGAAAGATAAAGAAAGTTATTTGGTTGAAGTTCATAGATATCCATGCTGTAAGATATATTAACAAACTGAGTTGAATTAACAAATGAAAGCAAATACTTTTCACCAACTTCCAACAAGACTGTGTAACCTTCAGGATGAGTTTTAGATTTTTTACGCCATTGAACAACACCTATATTATCAGAAACAACAGAACGCTTTTTTCTTGTTTGATAATTTATTTGTCTAGTAAAAAGAGCACTCTTTTCATTTATAGAACTTGGAAACACTTGATTAAAAGCTACACGAACAAACTTTCCACTAGAACAAATTGCTCCAGGAACACCATCAAAAGACATAGAATCATCCAGAATACATCGACTTGAATCTAAAATATTTGTGTAAGGAATAACTCCTCCACCTGCATACCCTGACAAAGTTCCATCGATATCACTCAGCCAAGTTGCTGATACAAAAGGGAAAGACACTTTATTTTTTACATTATTAAATGAAAGAGAATTAACACGAACAATAGCTCCGCCATCCATAGGCTTGCAGTGAGCACATGTTCCTAGTGCAACACAGTTTCTATCAAAATTAACAAACTTAACATTATTTACAGTAAGTCGATGAGAAAACGGAAGTTTTATGCCACTTAATGTACACAGAGGTTGAATGGATGGATCTTGAACTTCTCGTTTTGCTGATAATTCTGAATGACCAACAATTAACGAATTATTTATCATGGGAAAACCCCAAGGCGGATTTCTGGAAGATGCATCAGCCCATTCAATTCCCGCTTCATCATTATCAAGAATAACAAAGTTTTGAAATCTAAAAAAACAACAAAAAAAACATATTGAAGTTATTTTAACCAATAGAAAAAAATACAATAGATAAAAAAAATTGTAGAATGATACAAAACAACAAGTTGGTTTTAATTCAACTTTGAATGAGTTTTGATGCAGTAGAGTTTTGAATAAGTTTTGAATTTAATTGTATAAATGGTTGAATTTATACAATTAAAATAGCATCAAAACTCATTCAAAGTTGTTCAACTTGTTGTTTTGTATCATTCTACAGTTTTTTTATCATTGTTGTTACTATTTCATTATTTTTATTATTTAGTTCTTAACTTGAGCTACTGAAATATAAATAAAAAGGTGTTTTAAATGGAATTTTCAGAAACAACTAAATGAAAAGGTCTTTTAAATGCAATCTTTTAAAACAACTATGGTTTGCTTCCAAACAGTATGATTTGTCTTGTAACGGCTTACAAATGATAAGAAGCAATCTTTTTGAAAAGCAATTTTTTTTATCAAGCGTTTAAGTATATTTTATTTCTGCTGAATTTCATAACCCACAGTTTAAATAATACATTTAAAAGAATTTTACATATTTAAAATATGTTTAAATTTTTTACTTTTATGAAACTCATAGCTCATGTGCTTAAATTTAAACCTCATAGCTCATGTGCTTAAATTTGGACAGAAATGGCGTTCGATTGCACGCCATTTCTGTCCAAACTTTATTTGGTAAAATTTAATTCCTGTCGGTCAAAATGTCTGACTACATTGTAAATTGAGCGGAAAATCTGAGGTTTTAACCAAACAATATCCAATGTCTGACCGTTAAATTGAGCCCTGATTAATCAACATAACATCTGGTGTTCTGCAAGGACTCATACTTAGATCATTTCTCATTATAATATAAACCAATAATGATAACAAAATTTTAAACAACTAACTTTTGCAGATGACGCAAACTTGTTTTTTACTCATTAAAACATATTTACGCTTTTCAATAACATGATAAACAAGCTTAAAAAAGTTTCTGATTGGTTAATATAATAAATAAGTTATTCATAAGCAATTAATAAAACTAAATTAAAACTTTTCCAGAAATAACTCTGATGCCTCAACAAAGTTTGCTAAATCTATTGGTGTTATATTTAAATCAAGAAACATATTAAACAAACAATTTTTAACACATTATTTATATTGTTCATTTATTCATTGTACATCAAACATGCAAATAACATGTGAAGTAGTACTCATAAAGCAAAACTTGAATTTCTTTATCATCATTAAAAACACTCAGCTTGCACAACATACTTATAATACACTCTAAACTATTGCTTAAATAAATGAATGCTTTGAATATCACTAACTAAACATATATAAGAATTTATGCCTTATCTTTAAATGTAAATTAAATTTATCTTCTTGTGTATTTTAAAAACTCTGTATTTTAAAACCTAAAAATAAGTATAATTTAAGTATTAATAACTATTTAAATGCCACTCTTTTCCAAAATAAATATGATGAAATTTGTATTTCTTATTGTATCTTTTGAATAAAATAGTTATACTGAATATTATTTTTTTTCACTATTTAACTTATAGTTCCTTCAAACAGAAGTTGAAAGAAATTATTTTTTTCATTAGAAAAAACAACTTTATTTATTTCTAACAATTTTTTCTCTTAAGTTTAAAACTTGTTGATGTATTTAACTGCAATGTATGTTATTATGAAAATGGCAAACTATATTATTTATTATAATATTATTATACTGCTATTACAAAACTTTAAATTGTAGAGGGATTTGTAATAAGATCTATATGATCTTCTAAAAGTTCAACAATATTTATAGTATGTATACTTAATAATATGTGTAAAAAGAAAAAGTTATTTAAAAAAAAAGTTTTGAAACTTTTAACTACTAAAAAAATTAAAAATTATAAATCAATATATAAACAATTAAAAAAAAAACAAAAAAAAAATTGAATTAGAAAAAATATTACCGAATTGCTCCACATTCTACACATTCAGCTCCTTTTTGATTATTCCATGTGAGAAAGTCATAAAAATTTGCAGGTTCATGACTCTCATCATTGCAACCACCAGTTTTGCTTGGATGATAAATAGGAAAAATCCACAAACCAAAACGACCCATTGTGTGAGCACTATTGTTTTTAAACTCACGAAGTGGAACTTTTCTATTGAAAAAACAAACATAGAAGATAAAATAAAAATTTGAACAACTTTTAGCTGAGAATTTTTATTTTCTGTCAAACAAAAAAATAAAAAATATATATATAAAAAAAAAAATTATAAAAGAATAATCTGACTTCCAGTTTGTAAATATAATAAAGAAAGTATCTTAAATGTTTCTTACTCCTTTATATATTGACTTTTAATATTAAATATATTTAAAGTGGATTTTTTTTTAAGTTTTTACTTCCAGCAGCTATAACTATATGAGTTAGAAGTTACTTAGAAAAGATGAAGTTTATAAAGCAAGATAATGATTAACAAACAAATTAAAAGATTGAAAATTATATTAATCAGAAAAACAAGACAAAGGGAGCAAATTCCGAAGAACTGATGTTAAAGGAAAAAAAACTTGACAAATAAGATTTTGTAGAGAACTTAGGAACAGTCACAGCAAAAGGATGAGACTTGAGTGAATGACAAGTAACGTAAGAATAAATTTTAGTAGATGGCACATGAGAGCAGCACCCATTATAGAATTTATAGAAAAGAAAAAGAGAAGCAACATTAAAATGATGTTGCAATCGATGAAGGTTGACTGCAAGAGCAGGTCCAACTATGTTTACAATGCAATTTTTCACTTTGTCTAAAAGAGAAATGGCCTTATTTAAAGATCTGGTCAGTATATGGCAACAGTATTTCATACAATGATTTTGAGGATGGATGGATTTGAGATTTATAGAGATAAAGAATAGAATAGTAAGAAATTGACAAGCACAATAAAAAGATAAAACCCTAGCAGATGTTAGTTTTGCAACAAATTCAATTAAAAAATATTGCCTACAATGATTTACAAATTTGATTTTGATGCATGGTTTCCAAAAAAGATTGGAAATAAGAGTTAATCCTAGAAGATAAAGAGTAGATAAATCATCAAATACATTACCATTTATAAATGTAGGAAAATCGTGAATGTTATGATAACGATTAGCTGAAAAAATCAAGTTTTATCGAGTCAAAGTTCACTAGCCACTGAGAGCCCCATGCTGTAGCAGAAGTGAGATTCTTTTCAAGCTCAAATGCTCAATCTAAGCAACCGGAGAGTGTTGGCTTCTTATCATGACAAGAATAAACTGTAGTACCATCAGCAAACAATGCCACCTTAGATGTGAGAATGAAATTAGATAGGGATAAGGGAGATATAAATTATATTATTAGATAAGGGAGATATAAATTAAGTTCATATAAATAAAAAAAGCATAAGGCCAAGGATAGTAGACTTAACGAATTCTGAAGTTGCAAAAAGAGTGCTATCCATCAAGGACAACTTTTATGCTACGATTGATATGGAAGGATTTAATAATCTTAAAGATGTTACCTGGTGCATCATAAGAATAAAGCTTATGGAAAAGACCAGCATGTCAATCTTTATCAAAGGCTTTAGAAATGTTACGAGCATTGGCCTTAACCTTTCCAGATCTATCTAATGCACAATAAAACCTATCAGTATACTAACAAATCAGCAATATAGCAAGAAAATCGAAAACCATCTTGATGATCAGAAAGTAATTTATTTAATTCAAAATAAGATATAAAGCCTTTGTTAATTAAAGATTCAAAAACCATGCTTATGATAGGAAGAAAACTAATGGGGCAGTAATTAGATGAGTCAGATCGCTCTTTTAAAGATGTTGTTTTCCATGATGTCAGCATCTTTTAGAGATATTGTTTTCTTGCTGGAAAACAACATCTTTAAACGATGCTGTTTTTCAGCAGGCTGGAAAGCAGCATCTTTTGAAGATGTTGTTTTTGAAGACTTTGGTAAGCACTTGTTAAATAGTTTTGAAAGTATAGACAATGGCCCCTGAGAACACTTCTGCAAAACTATAACAGGATGATAAATATTATATAAAATAGTGACAACCCTCTCACTAAATTCTATACTTTTTTTCTTCAAGGATTATTATTCACTGCTGACTTTGATCAACTGTAGAGTTAGCATCGCTAACTTAACAATTGATTGTTAGGTTAGCATTCCTAAGATTATTTTTACTTTATTGTGCTCACCGCTATCTTTCTTTTGACTTCATTCTCTTTATCTGCAAGTCTCTTATTTGTCCATGTATTTCCATATATAATGTTGTCATATTTAAGCTGGTTTTTCTAATGAAGCTCATTCTCTTTTAAACAAGGTTCAAAAACGATTTGTAAACATAGTTTACCTACCTACTTTACAACCTACTTTACTACCGAGGCCCAGCCTCTTTTCTACTCTTTTCTACAAATACTATCATGATTGCTGTATATATATATATATATATATATATATATATATATATATACATATATATATATATATATATATATATATATATATATATATATATATATATATATATATATATATATATATATATAAATTTATTTAAATACAACTAAAAATAAAAAACCTTGGGCAAACTGTTTCTGTATAAGAAGGACCATCTGGATGTTCAAACATTTGATACCAAAATCCTAAATGACTTCCTCCTGCTGCTGCATTGTGAGAAACTGTATTGTTAGCATTAGTTACCCAGTATGCAGCTGGGGTAACATCAACATTTAATGTTGAGCTTGATGGTTTCACAAATATAGCAAGATTGTATCGGATAACATTTCCTACTTCAATTCCATCTTCCATAAAGTATGCATTACCTAGAATTAAATTTATAACTTACAAACCATTTCATTTTTATTAAATAACAAAATTATTTTTTTCTTTCTTCATTAATTTTTTATTAATTTAAAAAATTAATGAAGAAAAAAAAAAAATTTTGAGAATTTTTAATTTCTTACAAAAATTAAAAATTCTCCTTAATTAAAAATTTAATAAAAAATATCTTATGTAATCTTTTTTAAACATGTATTGAATTTTATAGATTAAAAAAAAAACAAAAAAAAACAATGTATAAATTATAAAACTTTTTAAAAGAAAGAAATTTATTGAAGATTAATTTATATGTTACCAGCAATTGCTGTACTTTAAAAGAGTTTTTAAAATACTTAAGAACACTGGATAAATATTTGTCAACTTTGAATTATTACACTTTAAATTAAATATGTACTGTAACTAAAATGCACTATTAAAAAATTATTTAAACAAAAAACATTCTTGAGCAAGCGTAAAAAAAAAATTAATATGTGCTTGTTAAACAATTTAAAGAGTATTTTATAGTCTGGATAACATTTTATGTAAATTTTTTTTTGCAAAAAGTTCTGTCTTTTCTTTGCACTTGGGAGAAATATTAGGATCAGATCCATGTATGAGAGATAGGTACACTTGCCATTGTTAACGACACTCCAGTTTCCACAAAGTTCCCAAATCACTTCAGCTTCTTGAAAAAAAAAAATTTAATCCCTTTTTTACCACTTTTTTATCCCTGTATGGAATACTGTTGCCATATCTGGGTTTGTTCTTCTAATGATGCTCTTTCTCTTCTAAACAACAGAGATGCAGAGTTCCAAAACATACTCTGGATTTGAAAGTTGCAAAATGACTATTTCTTCTTGGTTTATTGAATCCAGGAGCTAAAAAAATGTAATGAAGCTTATGGACTACTCTTGGAAAAAAAAAGACTAAAGTTAAAGGAAAAATCAAAGTTTGAACATGGAGTCCTTTTGTATAACGGTGGCAAGCACTTCTGGGTGAATTCTGGGAGTTTTTCGGGCTCTGGTAAAAGTTTTTACCAGAGCCACTCACAATGACAAAATTTTATTTAGTAATTAAATTAGGCAGTAGTAACTATTGGCTCATAATTTAAGTAGACCTAACCATAAATAAACCATAAAAATGTTTTAAGAGATCAAAATGGCTATTCAAAATGTTTCAGATTATAAAATCTAGCCTGCATCTTTTTTTAAACTCTTATATATAGAAAATGCAGCAAACCCAAAAATAGCCAGGAACATCAAATCATATTATGGCTCAGTACAAATATTTGTATTTTATTTAAATAAATATTTATACTTGTATTTTAAATATACATAATTAAAAGTGTTAATAAAACAATGTCTTTTAACAAAGGAAAAAGAAGCAACAAAATAAAGGTTTGAAATTTGAAGATTTTTATTACTTTTTGTCTGCAGACAAATTGTTTAATAAGGCTTAACTGATTATATTAAAAAAGGTAAAATAAGTTACAAAAGCTGCGACAACATTAGTTTTGTTTTAACGAAATTCAATTAATTTATTTAAATTAGTTTTTAAATTATTAATTAACATCTAAAATTTAAATTTAAAATATTTAGCAAATACTAACTAGCTTAATTACAAATTGAAATTTTAGATTTGTTGACATTGTTCAGTAATGCTTCAAGAGCTGCTACAACTGCCAATATGACTGTTGGTGAATGTCAAAAAACTCTTTATAATGTTATTTGTTATATCATCAGTGTTCAAAAATACAAGAAAGGTTATAAAGTGCCTATAACAACTATTGAACTCTAAAATGAAGTATCAATGCATAAAGATTTTTCTAAAATAAATAAAGAATGCTTGATTACCACTGACAAATTTTTTTTTTGTCATAGAAGCACTACAACAAACTTGTAAATGAATTTGCTTCACAACAAATTTGTAAATTTTGTAACTTTTTGCGATCATTGTGTCGCATAAGCAAAAATTTGTAAATGATAGCTTCACAATTAAGCTTATTTTGAAGCTGCACTTTAGATAGAAAATCAGCAAAATATTCTGAAATATCATGGAAACGACCTGACAGCATACTTAAATTAAGGACATAAAAAGCATTTATACTTCTAGCATTAGTAATATACATATTAACTAAATTAATTAATAAGTTAAATATATAACAATTGTAAAATTTTAAGAAACTTTTACAATTGTTATATATTTAACAATGGTTTTGATTACCTTTGAAACATTTAAATTTTAACCTGAGTCAGGATATCTTGTAACAATTTAGGGTTCAATTAATGATTGTAAAGATAAGAACTAAACAATGAAATAAATTATTCCTTAGTTTTTTTACTTGTCTTTTATGTAAATGTTGCAATTTTATGTGTATGTACTAAACTTTAAATAAGAAGTATATATTTAAATAATGATCATTTATTTAGGGGCAGAAATTTTTATAGATAAATTATAAAAACAGAATCCATGTTAAGCTGTATAAACAATGCTACAATAAATTTGTTAGTCCATACTTGTTGAACCTATAAGTATAAATAATCTTTTTATTTTAATTTTGACATTAAAAAGAACAACAGAATAACAAAGTAACATTGTAAAAGAACAACAGAATAACAAAGTAACATTGTAAAAGAACAACAGAATAACAAAGTAACGTTGTTTAACTTTTATAATGTTTAGCTATTAGTAATACTGATGCTAACTTTTTTGCATAATATTTGTTTAATTTGTTTGATTTATTATTTCATTTAGTTTTTTCAAACAGGTACCATTAATGTAGAGCATGTAAAAAGATAAAATGTAATTTTCTTAAGGAATATAAAATAAAAAATTTAATAATGTATTTTTAATGAGAAGTTCATATCTTTATTGTTAAATGTGGAAAGTTATTAATGTTTTCCCACATCTTTACAAAAAAATTAAAATAAAAATCACAATAATAAATAGTGTAAATAAAAATTTTAACTTTTTTTTTAAATTATTATTTTAAGTTTTCCATTTTTGCATTTTTTTTACAAACGAAGTAAGCCAGAATAGGTTTATTGGTTTGTTTAACTTAATTTATCACAACCAAGAGGAATTTTATAGCAAACTTTATCACAAAATATGATACTAAATTTGTTAATTATGCAAAATAGATAAATGTATTTGTTAGAAATAAATGTAAATGTATTCATCAATAAATGCTTAGGCATCGAAATGCAAAAATATTTTTTTAATAGCTAATTAAATAAAAAACAAATGCTACTTAAACCACAAATTTTAAGTTCCATATGTGGCTTTAATATTTATCTCATTAAAACCACACTAAATAAGAAAGAAAGCCGCATTATTTTCCTACAAGACATATATAAAAAATACATAAACTTTAAAAGCTTTAAAAAATATGATAGAATTGAAAACTTAATTAAATATTTGTTGTCTTGTGCTTGTATATGGGGAATTAGAAAGAGCAAGTATTTCTCTTTCGTTGCATTTACAGTTAAAATGTTTCACAAAACCAAAGGCATTTTAGTAACTTAAAGCAATGTGCGCGCAAAAAAAAAAAAAAATTAAATACTAAAATATAAAAAGTCATATTTATGCAGAAAAATTTTGATTTTTAGAAACAATTTTTTTTGCTAATTGCAGAATTTATGATTAGTGAGAAGAGGAACTATATTTTGCCTTCATGTAAAATGCCCTCATTTTGTGCAAATAGTAAAAGATAGTCAGAATATTGGTGATTTACAACTGTAACAAGTTTTATGCTAAAAACAAATAAATATGCTATAAACCAAATAATTATGCGCGCACGTAATGCAAGTAAAAAATTATGATAAAAAATTATGATGCGCGCACGCATGCAAGTAAAAAATTATGATAAAAACAAGTATTCTAGTTATTTTGCTGCAATAATAAAAAAAAGTGTTTGAAATATAGTTTTACACCTTTCTTGTTTCTATAGACTCAAAATTTATGATTGTCTAACATTGTTGAACACTTTCTGGCCAAACTAGATTTCAAGTTTTTATATCTTTAGTTTTTCATAGCCATATTTTCTCAATACATTTGACTTCAAATATTGCTTTTGTCATTTTTCAGAATATTTCCTTTTTATTATATCATATCTTTACTTATATAATATTAATGTTTGTTATTTTTTTTAAGTTTTCTTAACTTATCTTTCAATAGTAATTTTTTTTTTTCAAACATCTTTGCTTCCAACAAGGCTGCAAGCAACCACTAATAAGTGTTGGAAGTTACTGGAAGAGAAAAGATAAAGATTGTAAAGTAAGGTAACAATTGACGGACAACTTAAAAGATTGTAAACTATATGAATCTGTAAAACAAGATGAAAGAAGCCAATTCCAAAGAACTGATGTTTGAGGAAAAAAACTAGACTAATAAGAGTTTTTGGAGCACTTAGGAATAGTAACAGAAAAAGGATGAGACTTAATTAAATAACAAGTAACACGAGAATGAATTTTAGTAGATAGAACAAGAAAAACTATCTCTTTGGAGCAGTACCCATTATAGTATTTGTAGAAAAGAGAAAGAAAAGCAACATTACGACGATGTGATAAAGGTTAAAGGTTGGCTGGAAGAGCAGGTCCAACTAGGTTTACAATGCGTTTTTGCACCTTGTCTAAAAGAAAAAGTGCATCATTAAAAGATCCGCTCCAGACATGGCAACAGTACTCCAAACAAGGTTGAGTTTGAGACTTGTAGAGATAGAGAATAAAATCCAGAGTAAGAAAGTGTGGAGCTCAATAAAGAGATGCAACTTTAGCAGATACTAATTTTGAAACGGATTTGATATATGGTTTACAAGAAAGATTAGAAGTAAGAGTTAATCCTAGAAGATGAAGGGAAGATGATTCATCGAATACATTAACGTTCATAAATATAGGAAGGCCTAAATTAGTGCAATAACGATTGGCTAAAAAAATTAAGTTTTATCTAAATTAAAGTTCACCAGCCACTGTGAGCCTCATGCTGTAGCAGAAGTGAGATCCTTTTT